TACTTAGAAAACTTATTCATACTTCCCAGCCATCATCGAAAGAAGGAAAATCTAGATGTTGTTGTTGGTTTTTTCCCCCTTTCATGTGCCAACTTCCTCTTTTCCCCTGTGTCTTTGTCTCCCAGGTTTAAGTCATTTTCAGTCTTCTCAGTCTATGGACTATATTCCTCTAGCCTCAGCATCATGGTTTTGTGTATGTTGTGACAGGCAGGCCTTACTAGTCAACCACAAATACACAAGAGCGTTACTGAAGGCCTTCTCATCAAAAGTGAGGTCCATGCACCTGCATAATTAGTGTCACCGAGGGTCTTGCCTGAAATGCAGAATGTCAGGCCCGGACTCAGTCCCTGCTGAATCAGAATCTGCATTTAAACCGGAACCTCAGGCAGTGGCTGCATGTGTTCAGTCTGAGATGCACTTGGGGGACTTTGAGGCGTGGAGAGTCATTATTCACTTATAATTTCACGGTCATTTATGGGTTTTCAGGTTCCCATTTCAAAATGTCAAGTTATAGTTATTTCAGAGTTTAATGGTCTGACTAGTGCTCACATACTCAGTGTTCTTAGCTAGAAGATGGCCCATCAACTTTGGGTTCTGGTTTAGGCAGCACCACTGCCGTTCTGCTGTAAACACTGAATCTGCTAATTTGTCTGCTTGTTCAGTTGGAGGGTATCCCTCTCCCACACAAGCGTGGCAGTGAAGGTGCCTGTGAGTTGGGCCAGATTTTCTCCTTAAAAAGGCTTTGAATGTGCTTAAACACTAGGAACAAGTGTTTGGTTAAGGTCCCAGAATTCTTGGCACATAAAGCATAAAGAGACAATTTTGGATCAAAACTTCTTAGGGTAGTTGTTACTACTGGTGACCTTGATCATGGAAAAGAGGCTCTTGACCCCTGATTTGGGGTAAAACTGTGTGCTGTTGGTTCTGCCAGTGCGAGTTACAGAATGTATCCCTGCCTTGCCACAAAGCTGAATAAGTCGACCTGTTGGGTAAAGTTCCTTCATTTTGTCCACTTCAGCAATAGAGAGTGTCTGCCAAGCGTGGTTGATTTCGGATTTAGCAGAGTTATAAACTTTTCTTCCTTTTGCAATAATTATCCAACAAGTTTAGCTGCTTCTTAAGATAGTCTTCATTTCTAACAATAAAATTACATTCACAGAACAGCAGTTCTTAACCTTGACCGTACATGCGAACCCCCAGGAAGCTTTAAAATATTTTGATTCCTGAATTTCCAAAGAGATGCTGACTTAACTGGTCTCGGGTGAGTCCTGGGTTTCAATGTACGTAGGCTTCTCAGGTGGTTCTGACAGGTAGCCAGGTTTGAGAGGCACTGTTGCAGAGGAAAGGCCTTATCTTCTGATTTCCCCAGGTTCACATATCCAGTGACTCTAATAGCTGTGTCACATTATTAAATATGCTAAAAATCAGAGTCACCCACTCACTAGCTGTGTGCCCCTGAAAGAATCATCTAAATTTCATAAACCTTGGTTTTTTTTTTTTTCTTCTCTAAAATAAGGACCACTGGTGGGCCTGGGGGCTCAGTCAGATGAATGTCTGCCTTCAGCTCAGGTCATGATCCTGGGGTCCTGGGATCAAGCCCCACTTCGGGGGGGGGGCCTGCTAAGTGGGGAGTCTGTTTCTCTCTCTGCCTTTCCACCTGCTGTGCTCTCTCCCTCTCTTTCTCTCAAATAAAATCTTTAAAAATAAAATGAAATAGGGACCATTATTATATTAGAGAGTAATTATGGAGATTTAAATAAATCATATAAGATAAGTAGGATGGTGCCTAGCATACAGTAAGCACTCAATAAAATAGGAGTTCTTACAAAGAACTGTGGACATGGCCCTCTTGTAGACACTTAGGAATAGAACTGGATCTCCTCTGAGTCTGGTGGTGATGCTACTGTACAGGCTTCTTCTGCTCTCTACTGAGGCTATGCGGTTGGAACCACAGATGGTGCCTGGGGTCAAGGAATGTTCTGAAGATGACCCTCACTGTTCCTTGCTGTCATAAGATGAAACAGAATGGAGCAGTACCCACTTACTCCTCCTTGGGCAAACAGAAACCCAGCCCAGAAACCTGTCAAAAATAGAACTAATAAAATATCAAAGGACATCCCAGGAGAAAGGAATGGGTCTCAAATTTGAGAATTAGATTTTCTCCCTTTTTTAAAAAAAGAGACAGGTGTTGACACTATGAACTCATTAAAGCCCATGAAGCAAATGGAAATAAATGTGTGGTAAAGAACAACCCTCACGGAAATCTAGGAACCAGCAATCTCTTGGATTTTTTTTTCTACTTAATTTTAGGCTAGTAATTGGAGATTTTAATATACTTTTTGTGTTTTTCTTTTTAAAGCCTGTTTATTTGAATGTGAACATAGGATGAACATACTTGTGTATGTGTATATACATACGTGTGTGTGTGTGTGTGTGGCATGCATTTATAGCATACATTTAAATATAAATCAGAATTTTGCAAATATATAGTCACTTAGAACCAAAAATAGGATTTCTGCTAAGATCAACTGTGGAATTTCCAAAATGTGACAATAATATCAAGAGTATGAATTCAAGCGAAATCACTTCCCTGGTTCTCAGTCAAAATGTTGGCTCTTTACTACTCTTGCAGAAGCAACACCAAGGGTACCCATGCTTCCAAATTTGTACTTTTTAATGCAGTCCAGATTTGGCCACTCTGGTTGGCCTGAAAAATCTCCCATTAAAATAGATTCTAAAATGTAGTCTTCTCTAAATAATTGAGCTACCCATAGAATGATTTGAACATAATTTATGTGTAATGTTAACTGAGCTCTGGCCTAATTCTAAGTTGTCTTCCATTTTGTTGCCAAAGTGGCCTTTAGAAAACAGACTTGATTTCGGTACTCCACCATTCAGGAAATCTTTAACAATTTCAAATCAATGTCCTTAGCTTGGCACCCAAGACTCCCACAAATCTGGCCCCAAACTACTCTCTGGTTCTGACCTTTCCTAGATGTCTTGTGAAGCCCATTTCTGTATTTTTGTTTGCCCTGCCCCTTCTTATAAAGTCTTTCCACTTTTTGTCCATCTTTTAAGCCTCACGTATTCTTTACACCTCAGCTCTCAAATGCTACTTCCTGTATGGGACATCCTTGGACTCCACCCAAGTTTACTGTCATCCTAACTTTACTTCTTTCCTGCTCGTTCTACTTCTCTGGTCTGTTCTTCATGGAGCTTCTGTATTATAGCTATAGTATTAATTACATTTTCCCTTGTGTCAGCCAGGGTTTGGGGAGTAACAGTGAATAGTGCTTAAGAGAAAGTAATATAGACTTTGAGCCAAACTAGGCCTGAATTAAAACCTTTTTAGTCAAGTCACTTAATTTTTCTGAATTTCAGCTTCTTCATCTGTAAACTGAAGAAAATATAACCAAATGTGCATGGATTGGCAGGGGAGAGTATATGAGACTATGCAATAAAGGCCCCAACTAGAGGCTAGACATTAGCACAATTATTCAGATAATCTCCCCAGCTAGTTCATCAATAGTACCTTGCAGCATCTCACCCTCCATAGTGTTTTCTGAATTGAGTGGAAGCAGCCCAAATTGATGACATCTGCTGCCTGGATCTCACTGAGCTATTAGTTTTGAATTTCAGGAAGAAGTGTCCATTTTTAGGCAACATCAACATTTTCCTGTGGCATTTCAATATGTCTCAGTTCTAAAATGATTATAACTTGTGCTTGATCGAATCCAAGTCAGCAGAGCCGTGGAGAGCAGCCTAGCCCATGTGCACATCTACTTTATGCAGGCCTATGAGAGAGTGTAGCCCTCTGTAAAAACACCAAGGAACACTATGTCAATTTTTAATAACATTGCCCTTGCTCAGATCTTCAAATCATGGCAGTAATGGAGCTTGGGAAGCTCTTAATTATCCACAGTACTGTGAGACAAGGAGAGCACAGAGATCCTGGTTTTCTCTGATGTCTAGAGTTCTTGTAACTACACAGGATATACTCAGGATGGGTTTATGATGACGATTATTGAATCCCTTTTCTAGACTCCCAATTTCCTTATAAAACTCAAAAGAAGAAGAAGAAGCCATATTTTTTTCTGTTAGTTTCCAGATTATTTCCAATGGAAAGGAGAATTTTCTAAGTCATTATGCTTCATGGACACTGAGTCTTTGTTTCAGCACCAAGGACAGAGCATCACAGGACTTAATGCCCATCCATCTTATTTAGTCAACGAAAATTTAAATGTTTTAACATTTCTGCTCAGATTTTATGTAGTCACCTAGTAAACTGGTTTTCTGAACCTTACTTATGTGTCAGACTGTGATATGGTATACAAAGACTCACTAACCAATTACAGATCTCAAGGTAGAACTGGGGCAGGAGATGAGTAAGAGAGGCAGTTATAACACTAATGGCAAGTTCTGTTACAGAATTGTGTACAAGTCATGCGGGATGCAGGAGAGGGAACTCTGACTGATAAAGGAAGACTTTACAAAGGAGTTGGCATTTGAGCTGGGTACCAAGAATTGAGTGAAGTTTACAACAGAGAGAAGAGACTCCATGAAAGAATGAAGGAGTGAATGAATACACAGTGTAATCAGGGACTGATGGAAATGTGATTTGATGGGGCTGAAAAGTAGGGTGAGTAGAAGGTTAAAGTAAGAGATGAGGAATGGGCTAGGTCAAATCACCACATACTTATATACCAAGCAGGGGAGTTAAGCTTTATCCTGGGAAAACTGAGAGCCATGGAAGTGTACTGAGTAGGGACATGATCAGATCACATTTGTGTTTTAGAAAGATAGTTCATACAACAGGAGAGAGACTATACTGAAGAAAAGAAATAAGAGGGGAGAAGGGCAGATAAGGGTGAGATTTTTCCAGATAGCCCTGGGAATGAGGATTGGCGCCATCATAACCAAGGTTAGACAGGAAGAATGTACTTGGCCCAGCTCCCATGAGCTGTTCACCAATACTTCACATGTGCATTATGTCTCTCTAGATTCTTCCAAGAAGATAAAGGATGTCTTGGCTGAATTTAATGAAGGTGGAAGCCTCAAACAATATGACCCACATGAGGTAAGAACATTTCCATTTCAAGCCTTTGAAAAGCCCTATGTTCTAGCTTTTCCATAATTTGTTCCATTCTTAGAACTTTAGCTCATTTTAAAGAACTTGTTTCTCAGCATATATTCTCCCAAGTCTCAAATGAACCATTTATATGTTTGCCAAGTTTAAGCATTCTCTTAATGTCCTAGAAGACTCCATCATACCTTCCTCTCTCTCTTCAGATCTTTCCCTTTTCCTGTCCTCATTCTAAGTCATCAACCATGCTTTCTACTTCACTGAGAAAATAGAAAGAAATCAGAAGAGATCTTCCATAAGATCCTCACACGCCTCTGTACCTTTAATCCTATAACTAAGAATGAACTCTCCATGCTCCTAGTCAGTTCAGCCCCTCCAGGTATGCACTCATTCCCATCCTCTTCTAATTTATTGGGAAGCATTGCTCTCTCTGTATATGTATCTCCTTCACATCAGCTTTCCTCTATTTGCTAGGTTTTTCTCATCAACATATAAACATACTGTTATTTGTCCTATATTAAAATTGTTTTCCTGACTCCAGTTTTCCAGATACCTCATTTCTTTCCTGTCCCTAATAGCAAAACTGTGCAAAAGATTTGTCTGTAATCATTGCCTCTAATTTCTCTTTTTCCCACTTTCTTGAAAGTTCTTCAATCAGAGCGTAACCCCCTACTCCTCCACTAAAACCACTGGTGAGGATTGCCAAGGATCACAATGTAGCTGAACTCAATAGGTATTTTACTCAACAACATTGGACACAGTTGGTCAGATCCTCCTCTATTGTCTTCACTTGGATTTCAGGACACTACACTCTCCTGGTTTTCCTTTCATCCCTCTAACTTGACATTTCTATTGAAAAATCAAACTGCTATCTCATACTTAACATAAGCTAGTCTGAGTTCTTTGATCTTCTCTTGTAAAGCCTGTTTTTCCAGCAGTCTTCCCCATTTCCATAAATGACAACTCCTTTCTTCAAGTTCTTCAGTCTTAAACTCTGGAGTCATCATTGAGTTTTCCTCTCACATCCCATGTCCAATTCATCAGCAAACCCTGCCATTTCTACCTTCAAAATATATCCAAAGTCTAGTCACATCTCATCACAGGCACTGCTTCCACCCTTACCTGCACTACCATATTTTGTCCAGATTGTTTTAATAGTCACCTAACTGAGCTCCTTCTTTGTTTCTGCTCTTGACCTTTAAACCCTACTCTTCACACTCATCCTGAGCAATCTGTAACAATTTAAGTCAGATCATGTCACTATTCTGCTCTACAATCCCTCATGGCTCCCCCACCCCCTACTCAGAGTTAAAATCAAAGTCATTACCATCTGTACCTCCATCTACTCCCTAACCTCATCTCTTGCTACTCTCCTCATCATTCCTTTCCAACTTTTATAGCCTTCTTGATGCTGTCAAACAAGCCAAGGTTGCTCTACCTCAGTACCTTTGCATTTGCTTTCGTCTCTTCCTGGAATGTTCCTCCCACATATACCCACATTGTTTATTTCCTTACTTCTTAAAGTGTTTGCTCAGATCACCTTCTCAGTGAATGTCACCTTCTCTATTTAAAATTTTAAGCCCTTTTTCCTGATGCTTCTTATCCCCCTGGTCTGCCTTATTGTCCTCTTTAGTATTCCTCACCATCTGTCATGCTATGTATTTGTTCATTTCGGTATCCCCAGTGCCCAGAGGAGTATCTGGCTCATAGCAGGCACTCAAGAAATATTTGTTGAATGAGTAAATGAATGCAAGAACCCCCCTACTTTCAGATTCCACTCATCTCACATTTCTTGAGCATCCAGGCACCATGTTGGGCACTGTAGAAGATATAAAGGTGAGGAAGCACGGTTCTTGCCCTCCAGAACTTACTCCCTGTTGGCAGGCTCCGGAGGTACATGGTCTTAGGTTTGACTTCTGCCTTTGCTGCCAACCAGCAGTGCAGCCTGAAATAATATTTCACGTCTCTGAACCTCACTTTCCTCATCCGTTACCTGAAGATCACAACAAGCAAAGACATTGAAGTTTGCAGATGAGTGGATGGATTGAGATAATTTTTGCAAAATGTCTAACACTTTATAGGACACTTAAAAAGTGGTATCCATTATTATTCTGACTCCTTTCCCCAGAATGTGTTAAATTCAACTTCCTTTTCCTGCTCCTGGGTCCTTTCATGAGGGCTAATTGCAGAAAAATGACTGATCCGCAAGACAGACTTGGGACAAGGCAGGTCATTATTTATTGGTATTGTCATCCTTTCAACGACTTTTGAGTCAACTCCGCTGCTGGGCACTGGCAGGGAACCAACAAAGCACAGGTCCTCGAGGTTTACCTGAGCAGGGGCTTTGGATAAAGTGTACAGCCCTCTGGAGAATGAAACAGGAGGAAGATTGCCCGTACAGGAGACAGACTGAGAATGAGCCATTTGAAAGAACATTCCTGAGGAGAAGCTATGCAGAAAAGATGGGGAAGCCGCACAGAACTTGCTTCCCCTCCCACCCCTCACCCCCAGCTCCAGAAACACAGGAACAAAGAAGGGTGGGGGCTGCTAATCAGCCCGAAAGCCTTGAGGCTGAAGAGTGGGAGGGGAACAATTTGGTCAGGGCCACAGAGGGTGTGAAGGCCACCGGAGCTTTCAGAAGCGGAGAGAAGCTTGGCTGTTAGGAGCCTGCTGCCACCCACGCCTCATCCAGCTGGCCCCCCACTCTTTGCACGCCTGGCACTGCTGTGTCGCAGGGAAGCTCTGTCACTCTGGTTTTATTCTCTCTCCCAGTGTGGCTGGCTTCTAGTAGGTGTAATGTCCCAGCATGGGGTGGGGGAGACAAAAAGCATGTACTTGCTCTTGAGCTTGATGGCTTACTGCTGCTAAAACGTCTCAAGGAGGCCTGAGTTAGTCGTGGGAAGGGCAAGTAGCTAGGAAAGCGAGGCCAAGAATAAAAGTTCGCATCCGGCCGCGACACGCGGGGCCACTGCCCATAAACACTGAGTGATACTCTGGAGAATCGAGTAGAGCAAAAAACAGCCAGAAAGTGAACCAGTGCACGATGGAGTAAGAGGAGCAAGGTGGCTCGGTGGCCTTGTGATCTTGGACTCAGACACGTGGAAGCACAGAGCCCAGCTCTGCCCAGGCTGTATGACTCTGAGCAAGTTATTCATGTTTTCAGAATTTTTTTCATCCACCAAATAGCAGTAATAGTCCCACCTCACACGGTGGTTGTTGTTGTTTTTTAAGATATTTTCTACTTGTTTGACAGATACAGCGAGAGAGGCAACAAAAGCAGGGGGAGTGGGAGAGAGAGGAGCAGGCTTCCCGCTGATCAGGGAGCCCTGTGTGGGGCTTGAACCCAGGACACTGGTATCATGACCTGAGCCGAAGGCAGATGCTTAAGGACTGAGCCACCCAGGTGCCCTGGTTGCTTTAAGACTTAACTGAGATCATGAATGTAAACTGCCTGATGCACAATAAGCTGTCCATCCAGTTCCCCCCCTCCTTTTCTGACCTGTGCAAGAATTCACTCTTGAAGCAGACTGCAGAAACAGCAATTGCCCAGTTAGTTCCTATATGAAAGTGTCAGTTTCTGGGAAGAAAACAGGCCTGCACCATGACAGTGCCTAGCATGTTATTCCAGAGCACAGAGAGTTGCCAGCATGCCTCATAGTGTTTGTGTGTCTGGCGTGGGCAGAGTAAGCCACTTTCTACCCATCACACATTCACTAGCAGCGCCTTTGAGCCTGGCCTGTGCTCATAAAGAACTCACTCTCCACAAGTCAGATACTGCTCTGAGAGTGGCACACAGCTACTTTATTTTTGCATACTGTACTTGAGGTTCTTGGAGAGAGTGGCAGGGAGCCATCTGTTAGCACTGGGACCTAGAACAGAATGGGAGCAGGAGCACTGGACTGGGAGTCAGAAGATCAGGCTTCCGGTTTTACTCTGCTGCTAGGTGGCTGGGGCAAGTCACTGAACTTTCAGAACTTCAGTGACATGAGGAGGTCTGGGATCTTCTGATGTGAATGATCTTTGTTTCTGGGCTTACTCTGTGCCATTCTGTTCCCCCAATTAGGGTCATGAGTGGTTGGACATGTCTTCCATCATTGTTTTCTAAGTTCTTATAGTAGTTTGTCAGTACTTTTCCCATACTCATCACTATTGATGCTGTATTGGAATTATTTCAATACCTGAGTCTCTTGAAGGTATAGACCTATGTGTGTGTCACAGGTGTGTTCCCCAAGGTGTTTCTTGTACCTAGGAGGTTCAGTACATAGACATTGACTGAATAGGCCCTACAATAATTGATGGGAGCCAAGTATACAACAAGAAACCCCACATCCATTAAAATACCTGTCATAGATGGTTTGGGGGGATACTTAGATGAAATAGGATATTTCACTACCTTCCCAGAACTCTAGATCTAGTTGAGGAACTAAGGATGTAGTTATCATAAACAACTATGTATTAAAAAGAGAGCAGCCGATGAAAGTGTCATAGGACATGAATGGAAGGGACAAAGTACAGAAATTCAGATACGGAGATCATACCAGGCTTTCTGAAGGAGGTGGCATCTGGGCTGGACCTTAAAGTCTAGCTAAAATATGCTGGAAGGTTAACAGGTAGAGAAGGAAGCAGTTTATGAGATACGCGTGGAGACTTGACCAGGAAAGAACACGGAGATAAGTGTGGACAGAGTGTAGAGGTACACATAGAGAATCATAGGAGAAAAGCCCAGCATGATCTCAGAGCTTGAAGTAGCTACAGATCTAGGTTGGAGTGGGATTATGGGAGAGCTGTGAATCCCAGAGGACTCAAGGAATACACGAGATGTGGGATCCACTGGAGTGTGGGAACACTGCAAATTAGACCTTCCAGTCACATTGATTTTTTTATCTCATCTTTCTTCTGTTTTCTAATTTCTTCTCTTGTGTATGTTTTATGGGGTATAATAGAGGAGCACAGTAGTACATGTATTAATTTATAAGTATAGGTAAATGGGAATGCATGCTCAAAAATGTTATAGAGTTTGTTGGGTGGCTCAGTGGGTTAAGCTTCTGCCTTCGGCTCGGGTCATGATCTCAGGGTCCTGGGATCGAGCCCCGCATCGGGATCTCTGCTCAGTGGAGAGCCTGCTTCCCCCTCTCTCTCCGCCTGCCTCTCTGCCTCCTTGTGATCTCTGTCAAATAAATTAAAAAAATCTTAAAAAAAAAAAAAAGTTATAGAGGGTCATGTGATTTTAAAACTGATCTCACCTCTCCCATGGGCAATTAGGAAGCATGGAAAGTTTTTGAGTAGAGAAACAATCTGTTCAGAATTATGCTCTGGGAAGATCAATCTGGCAAGGATAGAGAAGACGGGAGGACTGACAGATGGGGGTGGAGGCAAATTGAGAAGTATTGCAGTGGTCCAGGTAGGAGGCACAGAACAGAAGTCTGAAACCAGGGAACATTGGGCCTCCAGAGCCTTCTTGTATGGGTGGAGGCAGCGGGACAGTGGACACACAGAAAAGACCCAGAGGTGACAGATGTGGCAAAAGAACAATGAATAGAAGGAAGGGACAATACCTAGTCTCCGATGACTGGGAGTTCAAAACAGAGCCTGGTATTGTCAAAGGTAGCAGAAGCTGCAGGGTCAGGAAGGGGACTGGCTGAGGGAGGGGCCTAATAGAAGTTGAGAACTTGAGATCTTCTCAAACTTACCATCTGCTGAGGAAGAAACTGAGATTCACAAAGAGAGGGAAATGGGGTAGAGCTGAGACCAGTCACGAGGTCCCCTGAATCCCACACTGCTTTTTTTGATGATCTTTCAGCTTTGGTTTTTGAAGAGTGTTATATTAGATGTGGTTTAACCAAATGTTCTCTTTTTTTAAAAAAATCATTTAGTATAGTCAGTGTTCCAGAAATATTTTCTGCTGCTAGTTCTCAATTTGATAAAAAAAAAATTAATGGGACACTTTGGGGCTCAAAACTATAGTTGACCCTTGAGTAACATGGGGGTTAGGGTCGCCAACCCCCGACCCAGTTGGAAATCCACATATAAATTTTGACTCCCCAAAAGCTTAATTACTAATAGCCTACTATTGACTGGAGGCCTTACTTTTAACATAAACAGTTGATTAACACATATTTTATATGTTATTTGTATTGTATATACTGTACTATATTCTACAATAAAGGAAGCCAGAGAAAGGAAAATGTCATTAAGGAGATCATGAGGAAGAGAAAATACACTGACAGTACTGTACTCTACTTATTGAAAAAAATTCCACACTTGTACAATCCAAACCCATGTTGTTCAAGGGTCAGTTGTACACTGCAAACAGTACTTGCCAATTTAAATAGTGCGAAGGTAAAGACCATGCAAAAAGAGCCTTTTAAAATATAACAGTGCCATCAACAAATACTCAGTCAAATCAAAGTAGAGAATGAAGAAAACCAAAATAGAACAACAATGTGGAAAACAGAAAGTTCAAGTAAAGAGGAGGGAATGCTACAGAGAAGCCGAAGATGAGCAAGTCAGAAAAGAGACACCTGAACTGATGACCTTCAAGAGAGTGGGTTCAGAGGTGATGGGCCAGAACCCAGACTGAATAGGACTGAAGAGTTAACAGGCTAGTGTGGTCTGGCCAGGGAACACAGAAGGGGAAGAGAAGAAGGACGGGGTAGTAACTCGAGTATTCAGTCATTTCTTTGGAACAGTGACCTTGAACATGCTTGCAGGTAGAGAAGCAGATGCTGGGAGATGCCTTCAGAGGGAGGGCGGGTGGAATCAAGAGTCATAGTTGGTGGGTTCCACTTGGAAAGTAGGAGAAAAAGCTTTTGCTCTTGCAGACTGATAAAAAAAAAAAAGAGGAGGTTGTGTGGGGAAGAACACTTGAGTGACGAGGCTGTGGAGATAAGGTCAGAAAGAGAGACACAGAGACTCAGGAAAGACAGAGAGATAGAGATAGATTGGTGGTAGTTGTCACAAGAAATATGAATCCACCATTTGCTTAGAGATCCCTTAATGAGCTAAGAGCCTGCATTATCCTCTGTCTAACAAAATCAGGCTTCCTCCCCTCGGCAAAGGACAGCCTGGGGCAAGTAGAAACTGCCTCCTGAGCTCCCTCCCAGTAGGGTCAGGAAGGCAGTTCTTGTTTTGGGGGCCAAAACTTTGCATCCCAGACCTGATGGTATATATTTGAGCCAGCTCATGGTTCCAGAAAGGCTCCCAGATTTTCTAGAAGAGACAAGGGGTTAAATGCTATCAGCATTTTGGAAGGAGAGCCAAGTAGGCTCCCAAAAAAGGGATTTTTTTTTTCCTCATGGCTGTTATTATTTACAAAAGCCTGCACAGTATATCTTAGAGGAGAGCTTCCGCAGTGATTTCCAGGAGCATCTGCCGATTTGATGAAGAATCTGATGCCATCAGAGAACGAGCCAGTGATGACTCATTGCAAACTGTCTTTGTTGAGTGTTTGCTGAGTACAGCAGCCCTTTCTGGCATGGTCGCTCCCAGCCCAGGACCAGAAGCCAGGCAGTGGTGGGAGAGAGGCAGCTGGGAGAGGTTCTAGTTTTTGGCACATTTCTTGATTCTACCTTCTGCCCTTGGGCTCTTCTCCCAGTACCGAAAACCTTCACAAGGGCATGTTTTGAGAACAGCTGAGCCAGACACATACCCTCTCCGGTTCTCTTGAGGTTCATCCAGGGAAGATCAGTTATGAGACTCATGAAGGATGGAGCCTGTTTTTCCCTCTTTTCTGAGACCCGAGCACTCAGGAATCACATCCCTCACAGCACAAGTAGAAAAATGAAGACCCCACATAAGAACCATCTTTCCATTGTGTTTTCCACTCTGTCCTTCTTCATCTTCACTAGGATTCCATGACACTGACCAAATCCAGCTCATTAGAGAACCGTCTGGTTTGTGGAAGTCGACTCAGGCAGAGCCCCCCTCTGTGGTCAGGCTCATTCCCCATCACCCCCCTTCTGCCTAGTCTTGGACATGTCCTGTTACAGAAGCCTCCTGCCAGTCCCAACATGCAACCACCAGTGTCATCTCTTTCCTGCTTCCTGTCCCCTGCTCCCTGTGCCTTCCATTCTCCATCACCTCCTGGCCTTTTCATTCCTGAGCCCACCAATGCCCCCCATTTCTTTCTGCTTCCCTTCCATTTCTCTCACCTGCCTGCCCTCCCCAGTTTCTCTGTCCTCTTTGTTTCTTCTCAGCCAATTAGCTACGATGTCTTCAAGCTGTTCATGAGGGCATACTTGGAGGTGGACCTTCCTCAGCCATTGAACACGCACCTCTTCCTGGCCTTCAGCCAGAAGCCCAGACAGGAGACCCCTGACCACCCAATGGAGGGGGCCAGCAACAAGGCCAGTGGCCCAGGTATGTAGACCAAAGTTCCCCGAGACAAAAAGGAGATTTTGTAGCTCTGATGCATTTGGCACAGGCACAGCTGCATTTCTAGGGGGTCCCCTGTGTGCAGTAACTTCCTTATGGGATGGGAATGGGGACTAGGGGACCAGGACTCCTTTCCCCATAGGGTTTCATAGGAAACCCTGTCTGATGGCTTTTTCAGAGGAACAAAGAAGGGCAAAATTCCTGCCCCCAGGATCAGAGGGGAGGATGGAGAGAAGAGGAAGAACAAAATAACGTATGGCAGGGGGAAGAGAAGCTTCTACAAAGAGGGCAGGAAGCCCTTGAAGGGAACACCTTCAGGTCATGTGCCCAGGCTGGGCTGAGCCCAGTAGTGGCAGAGGAAGGGGAGTTGTGATCCGTGTCTGCTTGGTCTATAATGGGGATGACACAGCCAACCCCAGTGAGTCAGCATGAACCCAGCTGACACTCAGAGACGCACAACTCAAGTGATCCAGGTCCCCACAGGAAGGTGTGCCCTGCCTGTGTCTCTAAGAAGCTAGCGATCATGGGCTGGTCCTCAAACCTTCTTTTTACTCCCCAGATACCAACATACAGAATGTGGATAATGCTGCCAAAGCAGATGAGGCCTGTGCCCCTGATACAGGTAAGTCTTTATAATACGAGATTTGCGGGTTGGGGTGGAGGAGGGGGACATCTAACCAGCGGTTTGTTTCCATGTCCTTTAAGCAGATCTTGTCTGCTTCCATCTTTGGGGCCTCCACCACTCATGTGTGCTGGGATCGTGAGGCTTGGTACAGGCTCTTTCTTTACTTGCACTGAAACAGGGTAGCTCATTAGCTGTTTACTTCTGATGGGGTTGCCTGGCCAGACAGGGGAGAAGGGGAACCTTCTGGGGAGTAAATATATGATGGGGGTTTGAGCGAATGTGTGTGTGTATGTGTGTGTGTGAGAGAGAGAGAGAGAGAAAGAGAGAGAGGTGCAGAGAGAGAGAAGCAGAGCATATTTATAAAGAGGGATCTAGGGCCGAGATACGCGTGACTGCCTGTGGGTGGTTGAAGGTGGGTCGGGCAAGAAGGGAGGAGTGTGTTCAAATGGACAAAACTGTATAGAGCTGCACTGTAAGAAATGGTAAAGGGAATCTTTTTAGTAGAATTATGCCATATGAAAACCTGGGTTTACACATGCAAATGAAGAATGTTGAAACTGGTAACCACATGGGGACATATATAAAGAATATTTTTCTTATTAGTTAAATCTCTTTGAAAGGTAATTAACTATTGAAGCAAAAAAAAAAGACATTGTGTTGTGCAGTTTCTAACATATGTAAAAGTGAAATGTAGAACAAGAGCACAGAGGCCTAGATGGGAGAATTGGTGGTACTTATATGCACCGGTTTTCATAAGTCAGGAGGAGGAGCCAGGTGAAGGAGTTAACATTATTTTCATCTATTTGCCAGGGACCTGGAAGGATGAGAGAATTTCTTCAAGTGGATACTAGGTGTATTTCTAATCTTTTCTCTAGTCATGGCAAAAAGGGCAACTGGAAAGATTACAGAGTTTTCCGGGTATAACTGAAGGACTGGTGAGATCAAAAATTGATGGTGGATGAAAAGCAGAGCATGGTTGGGAAAGGAAAATTGCTTTCCGCAAAGTTCTGCAAATTTCAGTCTTCCCCTAGAGCTCCACAAAGCAAGGATTACAAGCATCAGTGCCTTCCTGAGGCCTTCAGGGGCAGCATCAGGGCAAGACTCTACAAAGTATGGCTCACCCACCCACCCTTCCCAGCATCCCACTCAGCCATGCAAGATCCATGGCCCCTCGGGTAGAGAAGCTGATGCTGGGAGATGCTCTTAGGTAAATGGATTTAAGTTATAAATAAGTCTTAAATCATATGTGGAATAAGAGAGGCATAAGATGACTTAAAATTTTCTCATAATAGGGAGAGAAGGGTGAAATTGGGAACCTTGACTTTCTAAACTCTGAAAGAGAAAATCAACCATGACAAGCATTTGGGCCCAGATTCTTTACCCAGAGACTTTCTTAGTCCAAATATCTGGAACTTCAAGAGGAACCTGAGAGAAATTATACTTCATTCCTTGAGGGTCCAAATTGTCTGGGCAGGGTTTGTTTTAGTGGCTGAAGTTTCTGAGGAAGCAAAGAAGGACTTCCTGGGGATGCTGTCAATACATGATATTTGAGAAAAAGTAATCGATGATGATAATGGAACTTGGCCAGTGTATTTGACCACAATGTTTATTGGCAACATTTGTATCATTCTGAGTCTGAAAGCAACTTCCAGAGACTTCCTCCTGGAGAGGTGATTTGTGATGTACCATTTTCCTTGTGTATGGAGAGTGTCAGTTTCCTGTGATCAGATAATAAAAGAGTAATGATGTGAATGCTGGCTCAGGGAGGTATATACCATTTTTTTCATCATCTTTTGTGACTTGAGATTTAAAGTAGAACATCCTTTTCCTGTTAGGCCACCTTCCATGGATGTCTTAATTAGATGCCCCTGTTCACCAGAAACAGGAATGTAGGGACAGACGGATACCACAGAGAAGGGCCTCTGCCAGTAAGGAAGAGCCAAGTTCTGGTATCACCTTAGATCAGGCCATCTGTTAAAAATCCCAGCCTTTTCCTGCTGTCCAAGCTGAAGCCAGAGGAAACTAGATTCTCATTTGCTATGGCCTACTTAGGCCGTTCAGAGCAATCTCCAAGCTGGGATCCAGAACAATCCAGTTCAAGTTATTCATTTCCAGAACCAGGTAGGGGAATGTTTGGGTACATAGACACAGCAGAGAGGGGCTTCCACTGAGACATAGGCTCAGAGCCTCGAGTGATCTATCATTACAGGTTGTCAGCTAGGAAAGCCAGAATGCATCCTTCCCTTAATGCGCAGGACTAAGTGGAATAAACAATGTGAACTTCAATCTCCTAGTTTTTATTTCATTCCTCAGGCTCTTCAGATGTTTTCCGCAGCTTGACATATTGGACTCTCAAGGAAAGTCCTTCAGTTTTCCTTAGTTCTTCCCAATTATAAAAGTAACACATTATATGGTAAAAAAATTTGAAGTGTACAAAACAAATAAAAGGAAACAACAAATTACCCATAATTTACCAATGCAGTTACACTTCTGCCTGCATACACGTATCCTTGTAGGTTCTTTCTTTCTTTTTTCTTTTTTCTTTTTTTTTTTTTTTTTAGATTTTATTTACTTATTGGACAGACAGAGATCACAAGTAGGCAGAGAGGCAGGCAGAGAGAGGAGGAAACAGGCTCCCTGCTGAGCAGAGAGCCCAACGTGGGGCTCGATCCCAGGACCCTGGGATCACGACCCAAGCCGAAGGCAGAGGCTTTAACCCACTGAGCCACCCAGGCACCCCTCCTTGTAGGTTTTTTTCTACAAATTTTTTATGGAATTAGAATCAGATTATGCATATAATTTGGGAACCAGTTTTGTTTTTCACTTAACATTATACTCAAACATTTTTCATGTCATTCAAGACTTGTGGTAAACATCAATTTTAATGCAAGGCCCTCCTTCCATAGATGAAAAATCTGAGGTTGGATATAGGAGTAAGCCCACTCGTGCAAGATCACACACCATTTAGCACAAACCCAAAGCTAGAAACCCAGTCCTCTGCCTCTAGCTTGGTATTCTTTCCTTTATGCAACCCTGCCCAACCGGAAGGCAACAGGTAATACAGAGACTAAGAGAGAAGGTGGAACAAATCAGGTCTGCCTAAGAACCCTCAAGCAAAATGGTTAATGACATGGCACCTAGACAGAACTTCTGTAATATGGAAGACGGTGTTAGTCTGTTGTTACTGATGGTCCCTGAGGGATGTACTTGAATGGCAGTGGGTTGGAGGGGTTTCACATAAGGCAGCTTGAGGAGGAAAACACTAGTAAGACTAAGAGTTTTCCATGTATAACTGTGAGATCACAGCCCTTCTGTGCCCTGGCATTTCCATGACTGGAATGAATGGTTCACTTCAGTGTAGACTAGAACTAGTGGTTCAAGATCCAGTCATAGTTCTGGTAATCCAGAGATCTTTGGAAAAGTCTATAACAATGTTTTAAAACAGATTTGTTGAAATATAATTGGCATAAAGTGAATTGCACATGTTTGAGATGGACAGTTAATAAGTTTTTACAGGTGTATACACCTATAAAGCAGTACCACATCAAGATAATGAAGATATCGGGCACCTGGGTGGCTCAGTGGGTTAAAGCCTCTGCCTCTGGCTCAGGTCATGATCCCAGGGTCCTGGGATCGAGCCCCGCATCGGGCTCTCTGCTCAGCAGGGAGCCTGCTTCTTCCTCTGCCTCTCTGCCTACTTGTGATCTCTGTCTGTCAAATGAATAAATAAAATCTTTAAAAAAAAAAAAAAAGATAATGAAGATATCTATCATCTCCAAAGTTGCCTTATAATCTCTTTTTCCCACCTTCCCTACCACCACCCACATCTCTGTACTATCACTGATCTGCTTGCTGTCACTATAGATTAAACTGCATTTTCTATTCTTATAGAATCCTACAGTATGTACATTTTTTGGTGTGGCTTCTTTCACTCAGTATAATAATTTTAAAATTTGTTGATGTTGTGTGTATCAATAATCAACATGTTTTTAGTGCTGATTAGTATGCCAATATATAGGTAGATATTCCACAATTTGTTTATCCATTCACCTACTGATGGACATTTGGGTTGTTTCCAATTTGGGGCTATTACATATAAAACATTAATATTCTTAGTAAACATCTTTATATGGACAGTTTCATTCCTTTTAGGTAAAGATCAAGGAATAGAATGTTTAAGATTATTGTGTTCTTGTGATGATTTGACCTCTTTATTATGAAGTGACTCCCTTCATTCCTGGAAACACTCTTTGCTTTGAAATCTAGCTTATTATAATTATATTCATAATTAATGTAGTCACTCTAGTTAACTAGAGTTACAGTGGTATCTTCCTCCATTCTTTTAATGTATTTGTGTCCATATTTAAAAAGACTTTTTAATAGGAAGCATGTAGTTGGTTGGATCTTCTTTTTTTAATCTAAGTTGACAATCTCTGCATTTTAGAACTTTAGAACATTTACATTTACTATGATAATTGCTATCATTAGGTTTAAAAGTGCCATTTTGCTATTTGGTTTTTTCTCTCCATCTGTCCTTTCTTTCCCTTTTGCTCTTTTTCTGAATTCTTTCAATTAGTTAAATTATTTATGATTTCACTTATCTCCTTTTTAACACTATTAGCTATAACTCTTTGTAACAGTATTTTAGTGATGGTTTTAACTATAATAGTCTATTTTCAAGTAATATTATTCCACTTTGCATATACTATATGAAATTTACCACAAGAGTGGTGCCTGGGTGGCTCAGTAGTTTAAGTGTCTGCCTTCAGCTCAGGTCATGATCCCAGGATCCTTTGATGGAGCCTCACGTTGGGTTCTTTGCTTGGTGGGGAGCCTGCTGCTCCCCTTGCTTGTGCTTTCTCTCTCTGTCAAATAAATAAACAAAATCTTTAAAAAAGAAATTTATTGCAGTATCCCTCCATATCTTCCACCTAGACCTTTGTGCTATTGTTATCATACATTTTCCTTCTATATATGTTGAATTATAAACTGCACAACCACATTATTATTTTTGCTTCAGTAGTTAATTATCTTTTAAGGAGATTTAACTAATAAAAATATTTTTTATATTTACCCATGTGGTTACCTGTTTTAAAACTCTGTATTCTTGTGTATAAATCTAGGTTTCCATATGGTATAATTCAACTAAAAAGATGTTCTTTATCATTTCTTGTATTGCAGCTCTGTGAAGTTTTGTATACTAAAAAATTATTTTGCCTTTTTTTTTCTAAAGATATTTTACTGAGTAAAGAATTCTAGGTTGGCAGGGGTGCCTGGGTGGCTCAGTCAGTTAAGCATCTGCCTTCAGCACAGGTTATGATTCTGGGATCCTGGGATCAAGCCCCCAGTAGGGCTTCCTGCTCAAAGGGGAGTTTGCTTCTCCCTCTCCCTTCTGCTTGTGCTCTCTCTCTTTCTCTCTGTGTCTCAAATAAATAAATAAAATCTTAAAAAAAAAAATTCTAGGTTGACAGGTTTTTTTTTTTCCCTTAGTACTTTAAAAATGTTGTTCCACTAGCTTTCAACTTGCTTTCTTTCTAGTGAGAAAACTATAGGCATTCTCCTCTTTTTTTCTCTCTACATAAGGTCTCTTTTCCTCTGGCTTCTTTTATGAAATTTTTTCTCTTTATCACTGATTTTAACCAATTTGATTATAATGTTCCCTGGTATAATTTTCATGTTTCTTCATGTATCTGGGGTTCATTGAGCATCATGGACCTGAGATTCTATAGCTTTTATCAAATATCAACAAATTTGGAAAATTTCCAGCCATTATTTCTTAAATTTTCTACTTCTTTCTCTCTTCACGTATTCCAATTACATGTCTGTTTGAAGTTGTCCCCCAGCTCACCGATATGACACTATTTTTTTTTTTTAAGTCTTTTTTGGATCGTTTTTATTGCTGTTTCAAATTCACTGATCTTTTCTTCTGCAAAGTCTAATCCACTGCTAATCCTATTCAGGGTACTTTTTCATTTCACACACATCATATCTAGACAATTGTTATGGACATTTTTTACATATCTTTTATGTCTCTTCTTAACATATGCAGTCTTTCCTCTAGCTTCTTGGAGAGATGGAATACACTTGTAATAATTATTGTAAAGTTTTTATTATATCATCTGTGTCATTTCTGGCTCCAATGTCAATTGCTTTTTCTCATTATTATTGTTCATTTTCTTCTTGCTTCTTTGTATACCCGTTACTTTTTTGTGAAATACCAGGCATTGACAATTTTACATCATTGGGTACACATTCTTAGAAAAATTCTTGAGTTTTGCTTTGGGGCACTGTTAGGTTACTTGGAAATAGTTTGACCTTTTTGGGTTGGGTTTTAAAACTTAGCTAGGCAGGACCAGAGAGGCATTTACTTAATTTCACCCAATGACCAAAGCAAAACTCTTCTGAGTTCTCTACCCAGTGTTTCTTGAGTTTTCTACCTTGATTGGTGAGAAGAGACACTATTCTTGCATTCCAGGGATTGTTCCCACCAATACTGATTCTTTCCCTACCCTTAGGTAGTCTCATCACACATCTATGCTAATTGTTACTCAGCTGAATAATTGAGGGGAAACTCTACTGATTACTCACAGAGGACCCTCTGTAGATCTCGAGTTCTCTCTAGAGCTTCCTCCTCTTTGGTGCACTGCCCTGTGAACTCTAGACACCTTGGACTCCCCAGAGTCGGCCTCTTCAATTCAGAGAGACTTGTAGGATCTGTCTGGGCTCCCCTTTTCTGTGCTGCAGCCCTTGAAACTCTGGACAGTAAGATGTGGGAATTACAGGGATCATCTCATTTGTTTTTTATCTCTTGGGAATCACCATTTGGTGCTACCACATTCAGTGTCCTGTGAACCATTGTTTCATATCTTTTGTCCAGTTTTTTAGTTGTTTCAATAGAAAGGTATATCTGGTATGTTATTCCAATTTAGTCAAAATAGAAGTCATCGTAATAGTGTTTTAATGATGAATAGTTTGAGGATGTAACAGTAACATGAGATATAATGGGCTACCCAGTACAAAGGATTTCTCTCATTTGTCTTTTTTTTTTAAAAAGATATTATCTATTTATTTGACAGAGATCACAAGTAGGCAGAGAAGCAGGCAGAGAGAGAGGGGGAAACAGGCTCCCTGCTGAGCCGAGAGCCTGATGTGGGGCTCGATCCCAGGACCCTGGGACCATGACCTGAGCTGAAGGCAGAAGCTTTAACCCACTGAGCCACCCAGGCACCCCTCTCTTGTTTGTCTTATATATTAGTATGTTTATCCCTAACTTTTCCTCCAGTGATGATTTAAATACTTCTGTTGCATATGTAATTTTATTACAATTTCCCCATCTCATTATCCTTATTTTTATCTCATCCTATTGTATTTTTAGCTCAACTTACTCACCCTTGAGGCTTTCTGCCCCTCCTTAGTAGAGGTTATATCTTCTTGCAACCTCCTAGGGTCTTGTCCAGTAGGGAGTTGTTTCCAAAGATCTGGAAGCTTCCTTTCCTTGTGCTGCAGTTCTGTTTCATAAGATCTGTCTTGGTCTCTTCACAAGGCCTCTTGTAGTATACAGAGTGTCAGTGAGACAGTGGTCTCACCCACTGTCCATCTAGACCATTGTTAACTCCCTTCTCAGATCATAGCCCAACTCCTAGGACCCAGTTGGCTTTCATGGAACACAGCTCTACTGGCCTGACACAAACCGTTTGCCTTTGCCTGGCACTTTGGCTCTCTGAACGAAAAGTGGGCTGGTGATGTTGCCTTCCCCAGCAGGCATTACTCTCAGGGCTGCCTGTCTGTGTGCTTGTGCCTTCAGCTCTCCATTACTTAGTGGATTTTCCACTGCCGGTCTTCCTCTTACTTTTCACTGTGTTTTCTGTGAGTTGCACCCACTTCCTGGATATTAAGAGATTATTTCTCATGGGCATGGATTTAGAGAGACTGGGAAAAGAGAGAGAGCTCTTAAAGTGACTTGAGAAAGTATAATTCACACAGTAGAATATAGGTGCCTGGTTTTCTCATTAGTAATAACCTCATATTTCTGAATTAGAAGACAAGAAGTATAAAAGAGACAGCATTTTCCTATCTAAGAAAAGGGAAACTCCAGAGGGAAAACACTCCATTCCTGCCGAATGATAAACCACTTTCTGCATATTCTTAATCCAATTGATTAGGCGTGCAGCTAGTCAAAATTCGTCCTAGTTTCTGGAAACTCATTGATTGTTGATCTTCTGAATATTCACCTTTTCATTTATCTTTTAATCTATTTGAGAAGAAAATTCTGAAAGCCTGCATTGGTAAATGACCAATAGTCTGGTTTTTAGAATCCTAGCCAAAACTCTACAAACTGCGTGTATTCCCAGACCCTTAGGCTAAATGACATTTACCTGTTGCTTATGGGCAATACTAAAAATCACTGTCATCTTTTCTGAAAATTCACAGGGTATAGGTGAATTTCTTACAAGGATATAGATTCTTAAAGGGGTCAGAATGGGGCCCATTCAGAGTGTATGAACTCCACAAATTAGATATCTAGGACCACAGACTGGATCTTATTTAAGTGACCAACAGTTTTGAGGACACTTGTTTAAAATTCTTGCCTCTATCAAGAAAATGATGGAGTAACAAAAGGGGTTTAATATTTGTTAAACACTAAGTGCTTTTGGATGGTTTCCTTTTGCCTATTACAGAATTGAAGATCACTGAGAAGCAAGAGCCAGCTAAAGACCAAATGGCTGCAGCCCTCCTGGGAAACCCTGTTGCTCCATCTCCAGGCTCGGAATCCCCCATAGTGTACCTGAAGGATGTTGTGTGTTACCTGTCCCTGCTGGAGACGGGGAGACCTCAGGATAAGCTGGAATGTAAGTGCTCACCCTCTCAAGGGCCTTCAACTTTTTCCTAGAAGATCTAGTATCTTGTCCTTCATTCTAAGCATGCCAGAGAGCGACCTGGGATAATGGGTATTGGTGACACCTGCTTGGGGAAGGTGCTTCTGTCCTGTCACCAGCAGTGATCTGGACATGTCTTACAATCCATGCTGGGAACCCAGTACCAGTTGTGTGGAGAGTAGGATGTACATCTGAGACCTTGCCATTGAGAATCTGGATTTGGAAATTGGAGAAGTCTCAACGTGGGGTCGAGACTCCCTTCCTTTGCTGGCAGGATTTTCTGAAAGTCTCCAACCAGAAAGTTCCTACCTTCCCTTATTTTTCAAGGGAGGATATTCAATATCTGTCTTCCTTCTATTCTGTACCCAAGCAACTATTTAACTATGAGGAATTCCTTTTTCTTGATTAACCTCTAGCTTGTTAAAACTTATTTCTGTTTCTTCACCCACCCCCACCTCAAGTTTTTTGGCCTCTAGAGAAAAGGGGCTAGTTAAGTGAGGGAGTTGGTTCCAAATGTGACTAAAGTTGATTTTAAAAATATATCTTCAGAGAGAAAGAGAGTAATGGCTGGTGGCAGAAAGGAAAGCCCAGAGTGACTGAAAGAGCCTGGAATCTTGTAGAAGATTCACTGCAGGGATGGTTTCCCCCCACCTCCAAGAGCCTACAGGCAGACTTTTTAAAATGGGAAATAATAGGACCTTGTTAAAAAAGATATATGGTTTTTGGGGCCCCTGGGTGGCTCAGTGGGTTGAAGCCTCTGCCTTCGGCTCAGGTCAGGATCTCAGGGTCCTGGGATCGAGCCCCGCATCGGGCTCTCTGCTCAGCGGGGAGCCTGCTTCCTCCTCTCTCTCTCTCTCTGCCTGCCTCTCTGCCTACTTCTGATCTCTGTCAAATAAATAAATAAAATCTTTAAAAAAAAAAGATATATGGTTTTGGCTCCTCTTGGGAACTTAGTAGATATTAAGGGAAAAACCATATGTATCATAGCAAAAGTCAAAATTCCAGTTAATAAGATGACTAATCAACAAAACTTCATCAGTATCTAGGTTACTGTCTAATCCACTGGCAAGGTTAACCCTTGCCAAAACCAAAATAAAACAGTTCATTCATTAGCTGAGCTTAAAATCTCCCCCGTAGTTTTGAGGTATTAACAATTGCAAGACTGAAGTGCTAATTTGGTGGCAAATATAGCAGGTTTCTGTATCCTTTGGCTAATGTTAAAAGTGAAATGTCAAATTATTTCTAACATTCAGCCGAAAAATTGGAGTTTGAGGTATTGAATTTGTTCATAATTACCAGAGAGGATGCGGCAGATTTTTTCATATTAGTGGCTCTCAGATTGAGTCTGGTAATGGCAATGAAAAGAAACCGCATTAAAAAAAAAAATTTTTTTTGTTACAGAAAATTGCCAACATAGATAAAAGTAGAAAGCACAGTGAACTTCCCTATACCCATCAGCCACCTTCAGTAATTGCCCTGCTTATAATCAATCATGTTTTATTTATACCTCCCATGCCTTCCCTCTGCCCCAGAATATTTTGAAGCAAATTCCAGACATCTGTATGTACCTCTAAAATATGACTTTTTCTTAACTATAACCTCACCACCATTATCACATTGAAAGACAATGATTCCTTACTATTGCCTGTTCACAGAGAAAGCAGGCAGAGCTAAAATAAGAACAAAAGTATTCATTTAGGGCCTCAGAATAGCAATATGGAGAACACAAATTTGGGCAGAAACCCAAAAAGTGTCCGTCCCAAAAGAACAAAAGTCAGGGGTGTTTAAAGACAAGAGGAATTCTCATGTATGTGTTTGCAGAGAATTTTGATTGGTGTTGGTAGTGGAAAACTAATCTTAATTGATATGTAATTGGTGACTGAGGTTATCACTAAACAAAGTCTCTTTAATGTAGCAAATTGCAGGTGTTCAGGCTGAGTCCTTGGAATATTTACAGTTTGGCCCCCTTCAGAGTTCACGGTTCTGCCCTGTTAGGACCTGCATGAGGCCCATCTCCTTAATGGCCTCCCAGCTCCATTTTAAAGCCCCTTGACATAAGTGACTCCATTTAATTTCACCTTTTATATACCAGATATTTAGTTGGTGTTCACATTTTTCCAATTATCTTACCTATTTTTAACTGTTTGTTTGAATCAGAATCCAAATGTGGTCCATACATTTGCCGTTGCTTCTTATGTTTCTTCTATTTTAATCTTCTGCTTATTATTTTCCTTGTAATTTTTTGTTGTAGAAACTTGGTTATATTCGTCCTCTAGAGCTTTTAATCTTTTTTTAAATTAAACCAGATGAATTCAAATCCTCTCCTGATTTTAATGATTGAAAACAGCTTAAACTTTTCTCTTTTAATAACCAAACATGCATCTTTTTGGAAATAATATCCTGAAATCCCACCTATCATCCGTTAATTAACAATTACTCTCATTGTTGAACACCTTTTATCTGCTAATCACTTTTTTTTTTCTTTTTAAAGATTTTATTTTTTTATTTGACAGACAGATCACAAGTAGGCCGAGAGGCAGGCAGAGAGAGAGGGGGAAGCAGGGTCCCTGCTGAGCAGAGAGCCTGATGTGGGACTCGATCCCAGGACCCTGAGATCCTGACCTGAGCGGAAGGCAGAGGCTTAACCCACTGAGCCACCCAGGCGCCCCTCTGCTAATCACTTTAAATGCATTATCTCATTTTAACCTCATAATAACCTGAGAAGATCAATGTGATTATTCTCATTTTAAGTGTAAACAACTTGCCCAAGGACATGCTGGTCTTAAACAGGATGCTTTCTTCCTGTTCTTTCTGGTTCTACTGTCCCTGCATTATAGGACCAGGGGAGCTCCCCATGGGAGTCGCCCGGGGCCCAGGGTCTGGGAACAGCAGTGGTGGGAAAGCCTGCCCTTTCCATCATCCAGCATCTGTTTGGCGACTCAGCCTCCTATGCTGAGTGCCTCTGACTAGGACATTCTGAAGACTCAGAGAATCAGAAGGCCGTGACCCTACTTTGAAGGAATCTTGACTCCTGGCACAATCACCCCACTGAACAAACGCAAGGCGCAGGGATGTCACAACATGTAGAAAGATGTGATGACACACAGACAACCTAACAGGAGTGTCGTGACCTGTGGGTACATGCTGAGAGGTCTAGAGTGGGTATGTGGGGGAAGGGTCAGTCAGGGAGGCCCAATGAAGGGTTCCAGGAACAGGAGGAAAATGAAGATGTGTCAGCTCTGCTCCCAACTCCGCTTACTTCTGAGATCACAAACAGTATCTCTACCTTTAAGATGAGTGAAATATAATTTCCCAGGTCCCAAAAATGAAAATTTAGTCCTTTGCCCAAATTTCTGTCCCAGGTCTTCCTTATCCTGCATCACCTCCGTACAGCTAGAACATGCTAAAGGATGTTTCTGAATAGCATGTTGACATTTTAGAAAAACAAATACAACAGCTTCTATAATGCTAAATACATCATAGCTTTGTTGAGGATTCCATCAGCAGTAATGATAGTGTGTACAGGACAGTGCATCGTACTTATTAAATGCCACATATAAATGTTGGTTAATGAAAGAAAGTAACAATAAATAACATCTGTTGAGTGCTTTCTCCATTCCAGGTGCCATGGGACGAGGAGTAGGGCACATGAATCTGTCTGTATAAGCTCGATCTTCCTGAAATCTTTAAAGAGGCCAAAACATTTAGATGTCACAATATTGATTTTTAGAGTGATCATAGCTGGCATAAAATTCTGAAGTTAAAGAAATGATGTTGGACTTCTTTGCTTGCTCTGGGGATGTTAAGAGAAAGAACACATCAATTTAAACTTCCCTGAATATCTTTTTTAGAGAGTGAAGTTGTCAAAACCTTCTCTTAAAACCTTTCTAAGGGGCGCCTGGGTGGCTCAGTAGGTTAAGCCTCTGCCTTCAGCTCCGGTCATGATCCCAGGGTCCTGGGATCGAGCCCCGCATTGGGCTCTCTCCTCTGTGGGAAGCCTGCTTCCTCCTCTCTCTCTGCCTGCCTCTCTGCCTACTTGCAATCTCTGTCTGTCCAATAAATAAATAAATCTTAAAAAAAAAAAAAACCTTTCTAAGTATTAAAAAGGCCAGCAAAAATATTTACCATGTATGTAGTCTTACTTGGCATGTTTCTTTCATGAACATTTTAAAGGTATTGATATATTTATTTTATACATATCTTGTAGGATATTGTATGCTTATTCATATTTCTTATACAGAACAATTAAAATTATTACAGAGAAAAAAAATTGACCGATCATTTACATACTAATCCTCATTAAAAAAAAAAAAGACCTAGGAGAAAGGAGAACCATTGTAATCTCCATCTTGCAGATAAAGAAACATGGCCCAATGAAGTTAAATGATTTGTTTGATGCCCTTGAGGTAAAAGGATAAGGCCCAGAGGCCTAAATCCACACCCCTTCTGGGTACAGTAAAAACAGTGTCCCATTTATAGTTCCGGTGCTCGCACCAGCCGGGCACTTGTGAGCTGTGTTCCAGTGATGCTGCGAGGGTACGGAGGCTCCACCAGGAACCACACCGCAACCTGGATCTTATCAGTCACGGAGTTATTGCTTAGACAGGTCCGGAAGCCAGACGGCTATGTTCTCCTCCCTTTTTCCACCCTCTGTGTGAGAAATCAGACTCTGCACCGTGGAGGGTGGGTGAGCTGGCTGCAGGGGCCTTCGCCCCAGCGACAGAACTGAGCTAAAGACTGGCAGCATCAAAGCCCCAGCCCATCTGTGGTGCCCAGAGGACACCTCCAGCCTCACCTCTGTGTCTCTTGCAGTCATGTTTCGTCTCTATGATTCGGATGAGAACGGTCTCCTGGACCAAGCGGTAAGCTCTCATTCCAAATGTCCCTCCTGAAACCAAGAAAATTGGGAGGAGAGGGGAGCAGGTGGAGGAAGAGTCTAAAAACCCCCAGTTCTAACGTTAGAGAATAGCAGTGTCTTGATATAGGCTGCAGGAATCAGGGTAGAACCCCCCACTGCTACTTCCCAGAGGCCCAGCTTGGGGGAGAACGAACTCCACCTGACGTTTTCATTCCTGAAGCCTTGGATCCCACCATTTCAGAAGGGGAGTTGCTTTAGTATCTTACCTAGTTGAACTTCCCAGTCTTCCTCTCATACCCAGAGCAGTAGCTCAACGAGTCTGGTTCTTTCTGCTCTGAGCAAATGGTCCCGTCCCATTGTACCTGGGAAAGCCTGAGACCCGTCCCTGCTCTCCCTCAGGAACAGGCAGGGATACAACAGGGATCATGGAGTGAAAAGAGGTATGGAAGGCAGAGAGGGGAGAAGGCAAACAATCGGGCAGCTCTATGCTCATCACTGGTAGTGTTAGAGACGGGGCTCCTTAACAGAAAGGCTGTGAGGTTGAGAGGCATGGGACGGACTCACACCAGCCCCATGGGGAGGAAGGAAACAAGTCCACTGGACCAACGAAGTCATCCCCAAGTCCTCTAAACCCCAGGGCTCCTTTAAGGGATCCCATAGCCACAAGGCAATGCCGTGGGCTGCATCACGCCGGAGAACAACCAGAGAATCACAGACTCGCAAGCATTTGATCAACACACGTTAATCAAGTGTCTGCCCCACGTCGAGCACTACTTCGAGCACTGGGGCTATGTCAGTGAAGCCAACAGACATGAATCTGTGCCCTCATGAAGCTTTTGTTCTAGCGCAAGCACACGCCCTACCAAGCCGAGCAAGGTGTGTGTCAGAGAGAGGTGCGAGTCGGAAGGAAAATAAAGGAGGGAAAGGAAGTGTTCGAGGGAGCAGTTTAGCTAGAGGAGCCAAGGATGGTGTCCCTCGGGGGATCTGTGAACAGGGACTGGAAGGAAGTGAGGGAGTGAGTCAGGGGGACATCCAGAGGAGACCCCTTCCAGGCTGAGGCAGCCCCAAGGGCGAGGGTCCAGAGGGGTGCTTGGAATGTCAGCAGATGAATGAGGAGGGAACATGATGGAACAGAACAGCAAGGAGGTCAGAGAGAGAAGTAATAGGTGAGGTCAGAGAAAGAATGACCAGGAGTGGTTGTGGGGAGAGTTCACAAAACCCAGCAAGTTGTAGAGGGGATTGGAAGTTTGTCTTTTACTCTGGAGGAAGGGGAAACCATTGGAGGTTTTGAACAGGGGGGTGACACAACTTTGGTTTAACCAGATCACTCTAGCTTGCTGTGTTGCAACTAGGCTTTAGGGACTCCAGCAGGGATGCCAGTTTGGAGGCTGTTGGAATAAACAAGATAAGAGATGATGGTAACGCGTACCAGAGTAGAGGCATTGCAGATGGTAAAAAGTGGTTAAGTTCCAGATCTGTTGGGAAGACAACACTGGTGGATGGAAGTGAGTGTCTATAGAGAAACCTGATTCAGTTTTCCACAGAAGATCTCGGGCAGATGGATGCCCAGGATCTATGTGAACACTCTCAGGAGTGGAGAGTTCACCCTCTGCCTCAAGAGGTCATTCCACTGTTGGGGGAACAGGTAGAGAGGGCTTCCTTCCTGCACAGAAGCCACCTCTCGTCTACCAGAGAAATTCTCAGCACAAAAGAGGATTCTGTTTTCCTCTCCCCCTCCCCCAACAGAGCAGTGAGACCAAAATAGGCCAACCTTCAACCTCTCCTTCCCTACACCCCTTGGCTTACTTCTGCCCCGTGTAGGTGACCAGGACAGCGGACCAATGGAAAACCAATCCTATACTGTAGGTCTTTAAGATTTAAAAGGTACTGTCCCATCTACCCCAAGACCTTCTCTAACCTCAAATTCCCCCAGTATTCTACACTATTTCTCATAAGGCAGGCTTAAATAACCACTCTGACCAAGCTCCGGTTTGAAAGTGCCATTCTTAAAATATGGCACAGAACTGAACCTATTCCTCCATGACTCTTTAAGTAGTCACATGTGGTCTGAACAGAATGGACATCTGGGGAACAAGTTCTTCCTAAGATCTGCCTATTCTGCTTCCTGAAAATGCCCACCGATTCACACAGACCAAGACTGAGTCTAATTCTCAGTTCCTGAATCACATTGTTTTAATCAAGGACTCTTGAACCCAGCTCAATCCACCAAGCTCTTTTTTTGTTGGAAATTATGTTGCACCCTGTCCCCACTGCTTGGCCCACTACTTTACCTCCATTTATTACCTCATCTGTGATTTTGCAATGAATTTTTTAAAATTTAAATAGAATGTAATTTTTTAAATCCCTCCTGGGTTTTTAGGTTGCTTATTTTGACCCAGCATCCTACGTGGTGGAGATAACACTTTTGAACTTGGCTTCCATTCACCAATGTGTCTCCCCAGATCAGTCTTACTATGAACATCTTCCATGGTGCCCAAGAGATACAAATGCCTCCTCAGTCTAGTGTGTTGCCATGCGACTCTTGGTGCACTGATTCATTCCCATCCAGCATTTCTGTGAGGTCTTAAAGAAAGCCTGACTTGGTACTAAACAAAAGTCTTGCTTACCAGGCAGGTGTAGCCCTTATAAATTTCCTAATCAGAGTCCTGGGCTCAGGGCTGGACAAGATGCAAAGGAAAGAGAGACGCTCAAAAGACAGAGCTAAGACCTGAGCTAGGACCAATGCAGTGGCCCTACATCCACCTGCAAATTGACCCCTGAGGGATATAGATGGATCCCAAGTTGCTAAAGCTTTGGGAATGAGGAGCAATAAAAGAGGGCGAGGAAAGAGAACTGCCTTGGTTTAGTATTTCGGAAGTATTTAGGAAGCAAGAATCACAAAGGAGAAAACGGGAGTGCCTACTCTCCTGAGAGTAACAGAATTGAGGAAGGAAGTTGAGTTCAGGGGGAGTCCAAGAAGAAGACAGTGAGCTTTCTGCATACCTGTGGCTTGCCCATGTTCTTTGTTTCTTGTGAGCGTCTACTCTCCACAGAGCTTTGTAGTCGGGGCTGAAAAAGAGAGCAGAAACAAATGGTGAGCTCCTTAGGAAAGGCCAGTATGTTACACAGCTGCTTCTCATGCTCTGCCCCCCCGCCCATCTTCCCACGGGGTTTGGTTTTGGGTCTTGCTCACAAAAGCACATCTTCAGTGGTTCTGTTCTCTTGATGTTTTCTAGGAAATGGATCGTATTGTCAACCAGATGCTTCACATTGCCCAGTATCTGGAGTGGGATCCCACGGAGCTGAGGCCTGTAAGTTTCCAGAAGCAAGGGGAGATGTCCAAGTGAGCTTCCGAATGAAAGCAAGATAAAATGTTGACCATGCATGCGTTCCCAGACTCACCCTCTCATAGGCAGCTTCTCTGGGGTCCTATGCCTTGACCTCTGTTTTCTCTCATAGGAAAAAATGAAGACATAATTTAAATAATAAAACCTTTCCACCAGAGCTGAATTTTTATAACAGGGTTTCAAGGAATTTAGAACTAGAAAGAATTTTAAAGATTTTCTCAATCACCAGATAATATTAATAGCTACATTTGGGGGCTCCTATGAGTCAGGTATTAGATGAGACATTTTCTATACCTTTTCTCTTATCCTCACTATACTGCTACCCACATAGCAATATTATTTTCATTTTATAGGTGAGCAAAGCCGAACCCAGAGAGTGGGGGTGGCTTGCCCAAGGCCACATAGGGCAGGGCAGGGCAGGGCGTGGAACCCTGGCCTCCTCACTGCTGTTTGCTCCCTCACTGCTGTGCCTGCTGTAAATCAGAGCACAAAGGGGTAAAACAAAGAGGATAACACAGCAAAAGAGAAAGAAGGGGACAGAGGGGGCAGGGAAGTGCAGGATGAAAGTGGACAATTGTTGCTCTCTGGGTTCTGCAGATACTGAAGGAGATGTTGCAGGGGATGGACTATGACCGGGACGGCTTTGTGTCTCTAGAGGAATGGGTCCATGGAGGGATGACCACCATCCCACTGCTGGTCCTGCTGGGCATGGACGACTCTGTAAGTCAGCAAGCCTGAGCTCAGAGAGCTCTTATCTTTCAGAAGCATCAGGTTCCATGTGGAAATTAACATCTATATATGGCCTTGGCTTCTGCCCTTCTCCATTGGGCACACCATAGCCTCTAGGCCAGCCCCAAAGTCCTCTCTTTCCACCTGTTATATATTCATTCTGGCATATATTCATTCATTTGACTGAGAACACTGACTAAATAAAGGTACTGTTCTGAACACAGTAAGGGGATTCAAAAATAATATTCCCCTACCAGAAGCTTAGACTCAACCAGGTGGGTTGAGGGTTTGTGTGGGGGGAGTCAAGGAAGAATCCCATCATTTCAACAGATTAGGGTAAAATATGCTAAGAGTCTTGACAAAAGAAGGAAAGGAGGAAAGGAAGGAAAGACACTGATGTGTCGCAAAGTAGAGGTTTTTCAGTGATACTATCTTATTTAACCATCAAAACAACCAGATAAGATATATATTTTTCCCCAATTTGTATCCATGGAAAACTGAAATTCTGGGCCTAAAGAGCAAAGGAAGAGCCAGAATTTATTTGCACTTGACTCCAAAGATCCCATGCTTTCAAAACCTCCCACACTGAGGAGTGAGAAAGTGGGAAGAAGCCCTGGGGTCCTTTGGCCTGGTGGGAAGTACCATGTGGGAGTCTGAGGTCTCATCCTTAAGTATAAAGGTCAGGTAGAAAGCCCTTAGAGGGTGATGTTGGATCTGGTTCTCAAGGATGGGTATGATTGGCTGATGGGAAATGATAGAAGAGAAAGTTTATGGCTGGGAGAAAAGCTTGGTCAAAGACCTAAATGAAAGAAAGTTCAGAGCGTATTAGAGAAACCTCCCAGTTTTACCAGAATAGGGAATACATATAGAGGCTTGATGTGAAATCCATGATAATATACGCCGCATTTGAGCTAGTCTGCTTATCTCGCAAGGGAAATAGCTTCCATACACAAAGGAAAGATAAGAACTAGATGGTGATAAATGCTTGATGTCACTAAATGGTGGACTGTTGCACAGGTTGTAGACAACACCTCTTTGAGATTACAGAAATACCATAGAGAGGAAGTTCAGTTGGGTTAGCCTCTCGCTGGCTGCCATTGCCCATAATGTCTCCATCTGACTGCTCTGCAGTTAAGAACTGCTGTTCAGAAGCTGAGCCTCCGTTCCCAACACTCAAGAACGAAAGAATCCTGTAGTCATCTCAGTATGTCCAGCACTTCCCAAGTGCTAAGTAGAAATCAAGGAACCAGGAACTACACAACTTCTGCCTTCTTATTCCTTAAGACCCAAGAAGTCAGAGCTGGAAATGATGTTGGTCATCAACACACTAGTCTCTTCCTTTTACAAACTGAGGGCCAGAGAAGTAAAGGGACTTGCCCTCAGGCACACCCAGTTAGTACCAGAGGCCAACCGCCATATTCCGGAAGAGCACGCACCTCATTCAGTGATTTCTTACCAAGAACCTATCATATGGGGACGCCTGGGTGGCTCAGTTGGTTAAGCGGCTGCCTTCGGCTCAGGTCATGATCCCAGCGTCCTGGGATGGAGTCCCACATCGGGCTCCTTGCTCAGCGGGGAGCTTGCTTCTCCCTCTGCCTCTGCCTACCACTCTGTCTGCCTGTGCTCATGCTCTCTCTCTCTCTCTCTCTCTCTCTCTCTAAAATAAATAAATAAAATCTTTAAAAAAAAAAAAAAGAACCTATCATATGTAAGAACCCACCTGAGCTAGGGCATGGTGGGCTCAGATAAGGAAGGCACGGTTTCTGCTATCGGTACTTGAATCAAAGTGGAAGTTCCAGCATTCCTGGTTTTTTCTCTGAAACGTGAGAATGGAGGTGAGACATTTTTTTTTTTAAGATTTTTTATTTATTTGACAGAAAGAGAGAGATCACAAGTAGGCAGAGAGGCAGGCAGAGAGAGAGAGAGGGAAGCAGGCTCCCTGCTGAGCAGAGAGCCTGATGTGGGGCTCGATCCCAGGACCCTGAGATCATGACCTGAGCTGAACCCACTGAGAAACCCAGGCACCCCTGGAGGTGAGACATTTTAACCACAAGGAAGCAATTTCTATTTCCTATTCTGTTTTGGACTTGCTAAGTCCAAGGCAGCATACAACTCTTTTCATGGAGGGGATCTACTCTCCTATGGCTGGAGGAGGGAGAAAGAGTCTATTTCTTCAACATTACCCCTGATGTCTCCCCCAAATGCCAAACCAGCCTTGTAGAAGACCGTAATGTACATCAATAAAGGGGCAAACAAAAGCAAATGTGAATGTAGCTTTTATTAATCAAAAGTCTTAAGTGCATATTTTAAAATATGCACTAAATTTTAAGTTTTTACATTTAATATTCAAGATTCTAGAGAAAGCATCCCTCAGTGGCTTAAAAAATCGCATAGCACCTTTAGTTTTTTCAAAACCCACATGGGGGCCACTAAAAAGTCAGGAGATCTCTGAATAGCACAAACGCAGAGGAGAAATGGTCTGCCTCCAGGGTACCAGGCTGGCACTGGGGAGGTGACGCCCACACCCTGCAGACTCCGTTGTGTGGAAATGAAAGGGCCACATGGTGGCGCTATAACCCAAGCAGAAATGTTATTTCAACCTTCACCTGGGTCCTTTTGCTTCTAACCCCACATCCACGAAAATAGTATCTGAGAAAACAAAACCAGCTGATTGAGTTAACAAAGGGATTTTCAGGTAAAATGACAGCTCTGTAGGGTAGATGAAGAAGCCGTGCTGAAGACTGCTGTGATTTCCCTTCTGTCCATAAAGGAAAACCCTAGAATGTGTAGGTAGGGGGAGGGATGAAAGGAGCATAGATAGACTCAGGCCAGCAAGACCAAGTTATGAAATCAGTCGCTTGTTATTTTATAGTCTTGGACTATTTATGTAACTTCTCCAGGGCCCTCTTTCTTCATTTCTGGGATAGGCATAAATCTACCTCCTTACAAACACTCTACTTACTTTGTGTTCCCCAGTGTCTAACACGGAGAGAAACTTAATAAAAGTTTTAATCCACGATGTGGTAAGCACTGTTAGGAGCTTGACTTAACGTTTTTTCACTTGATTCTTACAGACATCCTCTGGATGTTTATCAAGTGAATGGATCAATCAATCTTTCCCTAAATCATTTAATCAATCAGTAAATCTGTTTACTAAAGTGGAAACCATTAAACAAAAAGCTATAATTCTATAAAACTCAGATCTTTAAAGAAGCAGTGTTTTGAGGCAGTAAGAAGAAAAATGCTTAGCCCTTCCCCGGGGAGGGGACCGGCATTCGGAAGAGCAGATGGCACTTCCTGGAGACCATGAGGAGACCAGTCTGGGCACAGGAACGAGTCTGGCTGCTGTGACCAGCCCAAACCAGAGGTGTGCAGAACTGGGTGTGAGTCCAGCACGCTGTCTCTGTCAGTGCCCCCCACCTGATTCCAGTAGTTCTTACTCCCTTAAGACCAGCCCAAGGATGTTAGTCTTTTGATGGAGCCCAGGACAAAAGTTCAGGGACAGCATACACGGAGGCATGTTCCTGAAGCCACAGCCTCCCATGAGGCTGTGCTCCCAGAGCTAGAAGTTGTAAGATCTAATGGCACTTAGCAATATGGTTTTTAAGACACTGAGGGCTGCTTTCTTCAGAATTTTGAATATCAGATGTAAAAAATTTATAATTTAGTGCCTGTGTAAAAGTAAATGCATTAGACTTTTCGATTAATAGAAGTTACGTTCACATTTGCTTTTGTTTGCCCCTTTACCATTGTAAATTACGGTCTTTGAGGAGGCTGGTTTAGCATTTGGGGGAGACATTGGGCGTAATGTTGAAGATATAGTTTCTCTCTCTCCCTCCTGCAGCCATAGGAGAGTGGATTCCCCTCTCATATGTGGTTGTATGAGGCTCGGCTTCATTCGTGGTTAAGGATGAATTTGCTTCTGGGCCAAGTCAGGAGGAAGTGGTTTAACCCTCTCTCTATCTCTCTTTACTATTTTATCTGTGTACAGAAAGTTGAAAGAAGTGTATTGTTTTTGCTAAATGACTTTTTCCTGATTACAAAACTGGTACAATCTCACTGTAGAAGATTTGGAAAACATGTTTTTTTGGAAAAAACGGTAAGGAGAAATTAGAGATTATAATACATCTGTGGTACTGCTAACAGTAGCTAACCTCTGTTAACAGTTCAGTGAAGTTTCTTCCCATCTTAGATCTTGTGTAAAACTGAGATTATAATACATCATCAAATTTGCATTCACTTAGCATTGTATTATGAGCACATTCCAATGCCATTAGATAATCTTCTTAGTATCTTTTTGATGGTCCGTTAACAATAAATCCAACTAACCTTTGGAAAATTTTTGCGACCTTCAGGATATTTCCAGTTTTTCATTTTTTTTAAACAGTGCTGGATTAAACACCTGGAAGAGCACAAAAATGTTCATCTTTCAAAAATTATTTTTTGAGGGGGTACCTGGGGGGCTCAGTTGGTTAAGCAGTCAGCTCTTGATTTCGGCTCAAGTCATGATCTCAGGGTCCTGGGATCAAGCTCCACTTTGGGCTTTCTGCTCAGGAGTCTGCTTCTCCCTCTCCCTCTATCCCTGACCACCCCCCCTTCAAATAAATAAATCAATTTTTTAAAAAATTATTTCTCTAGGATAGAACCCAAAAAGCAGAATTTGTAAGTCAAAAGCTATAAACATTTAAAGGATGATGATGGACAGATGGATGGATAGACAGACAGACGGTGGATAAGGAATTTGTTCTGACTTACCCTTCTGCCAGCCACATAGGAGAGGTCTTCTTTTATTCCCACTCAGATGTTCCTGATTTTTAATATTTGCTAATTCTAGAAACAAAGTATTTTGTCTTGTTTTGCTCTTCTTTTGAAAGAGTCCCTAAAACAGTTAAACGACTCTCTTGTATTCCACATATGAAAAGAGTCTTTTTAGAAAAAAAGAGAAACGTCCAGGAGCCACCCCCCACCAGCCTGCTCAGCATCTCCCTTGCTTGTACCCCTGCAGGGCTCCAAGGGGGATGGGAGGCACGCCTGGACCATGAAGCACTTCAAGAAGCCCACCTACTGCAACTTCTGCCACATCATGCTGATGGGCGTTCGGAAGCAAGGCCTCTGCTGCATCTGTGAGTCAGCTTCCTTCAAACCCCTTGCCCCGGGAATGGCCCTGCTCTGCACATACCTGAGCCATTCTTTGGGACAGTCTAGGGATTGCTACTTCTAGCTTGAAGGACCCCACAGCAGGGAATAAAGCAAGAGCTCTCTGTACTCTTTTTGCGTTACCCATGTGAAATGGACAACCGCTGTCCTGTCATTGGAATTCTGCCAAGGGCCACTGAGCCCTGGGGGGGGGGGGGAAATGATTCACATTCACACATCATTTTGAAACATCTCACACTCATTTTAGTTGGGTTTTGTTAGCGAATGTTTATTTTGCTGAAGCTGGGGTGTTTCTTAATAAATAAGATAAAACTACTGTATAAATGCAATGGAAATTAAAACTCTGTTGTTTCTCTTTATGATCCATTTAGTAAAGTGAGAAAGGAGAGGAGGAAAGAAAGCTCATTGAGAAAGGAGGGAAGGAGACCAGAAAGGAGAACCAGAGAAAGATGGAAGGGGAGGAAGGAGAAGGGGTGATGTAGGAAAGAGAGTGGAGATAGGGAGCAGGGGGAGAGGAGGAGAGGCTACAGCACACAAAGGCTTTATAGGGCCCAGGGGCTGTGGCACAGAGTCCCACCAGCTACCTCACCACAGAGGCAGCAAACACTCCGCCAGGACCCACCAGGCCCTGGTGAGCTGCGGCTGCCAGAGAGCCCCTGGGTGCAGGTCAGGCCCCTGAATGTTTATCCAAGCCTGCACACATGAGCTAGTCAGCAAGTGACGTGGCCACAGAAGTCACCTGAGCAGGGCTGGACCCCAGGTCTACCAAGAGCAAGCACCAGTGGGAGAGTGAAGGGGCCCCCCGTCCCTCCAGCACCCAGTCACGTCCAGCCCTCTCACATATTCCTCTTATAGAAGAACCCAGTCTCATTCCTGGTAGGTTCAAGGCCTGTGGGCCTTCCTGTTTGCATAGTAAGAAGAAGTGGTAACAACACAATAATAATTTACGGAAGAGCTATTCTGACACACACAACTCTATACAAACTATCTCATCTGATGCTGTAAAAGCCTTGCAAAGAGAAAGAGAGCCCATTTTATCCCAATTTTATAGAAAACACTGAATTTCAGAGACAGGAAGAAAGTTACCCACAATCATGTGTGCTGTGACCAATGGCAGAGCCAGAGTTCGGGCCCAGGCCTGCCTAATTCCTAAGTGAGGAACACCCCTGGTCTTTAAGTTTCCTCCCCAGAATGCATGGCATTGGTTGTACTGAGCAGGTTACACTTCCCTTAAGTGGAATGTGGTTTTGGGGGATGTTTTCTTCCTGCATTCATGCTCTGCCGAGGCAGTGTGGTGGGGTAGAGGGTACAGAAACATGTCTGGAAGAGAACTATGGACTCTCCTCCCACTGAGCAACTGGAGGCAGTTTCACATTTCCATTTGGAAAGCCAGTGCCCATAGGTCCCCTGCCTCTGACCGGTCACCCAGAGGGAGGCACAGAACTCGGTTGGAGTGGAGGTCGTGGGCAGACGGCTGGACCTTCCTGGGTAGCCACTCACAAGCAATTTCTTTCTTTCTGTCTTTCTTTTTTTTTCTTTTTTCCAGACTGCAAGTACACTGTCCATGAACGCTGTGTCTCCAAAAACATTCCTGGATGTGTCAAAACATACTCAAAAACCAAAAGGGGTGGTGAGGTTAGTGACCTCTCTTGCCTTGTTCTTCCGCATGCTACATCCCAGGCAACATGTCCGTCACCACAGACTCCTGGGCGGGAAGCTTTCTTGGGTCCCTGCTCTGCCTCGGGGACAACCCTTAAATCATCCTGTTCATCCATCAACCCATCAGCATCTCCCCGGTGCCCACCATGTGCCAAGCACTGTGCTAGGGGGTCCCCAGTTTACAAGATGGTCCCCAGCTTGTGCTGTCTTGTGGGAGAGCCACAGACATGTAAGCAAAGTATAAGCAAGTGAGATGTAGGATAACAGTAGGGCTGTGTGGGACAGACAGTGGAGACACCAGGGAGGAGGCTGGGGAAGGTTCCACAGAAGAAGTGGCATTGAGTTGTGCCTTGAGCCCAAATTGGGAGGACTTCACAAGGCATCAGGGAGGACAAGGCACCCCAGGCCGAAGAAGCCTTGAGTGCAAGGCATGGAGACGTGGCCTAGTCTAGGATCTGTACTTAGTCTGGTGTGACTGGGACAGAGGATGCTTAAAGGGAAGTGACAGGAGATGTCCTCCAGAAATGGTAGGTCTGGCCTGGGGAAGTTCTGGCGAGGCCAGCTGAGGCATCAGAAAGGCATCTCCTGCACAGCAAAGAGGCCTCTGCAGAGTTGTAACCCCCTGAAGATACACGAAGAGATGATTGGGTTTGCGAATTAGGTTAACTGCTCTGACCATGAGGCAGGAGAGAGATCAGAGGGGGGAACAGAGATTCTCTGACAGTTCAGGCAAGAGGCAGTGCCACACTAAGGGCCTGCCTCGGGGGGAAGGGGATCCTGTACTCACCATGCTTAATACACTCACGTTGACAACAGCAAACGTGGCAGTGGCAGTATCTGTGTTGAGGGTCCCCCGGCCATGCTGTTGCATATTTTGGTTGTCTCTTGGCTGAGGTAGAGGAGAGGAGGGGAGAGTTGGAGACATAATCTGGAGGTAGCACTAGGACTTGGTGATGGGGACGTAGTGGATGGGAGTGAGGAAGAGGTTAGGAATGGCTCCCAGGTTTTGAACTTGGCCATTGGGTGGTGCCATTCCCAGAGTCTGGAAATAGGCTCTCCTTAAAATGAGCAGGGGAGGGACACTTTTGAGTCCATTCAACCTGAGTGAGGAGATGATTAGTGGCAGGGAGTGGCATCCAGCCCTCCATAGGACTCCTGAGGGAGAAGGGTGATCCAGGACACGCGTGCATGCCTCGTGAGATGCTGCATGGTCTCTTGTCTACGCCTGCACCACGCCCATACACACCTCTTTTCATGTCCATACCTTTCACCAGGACGCACCACATACTTCCTGGGCTCAGGCCCTAAGCCTACATCTGGCCATTTGCACACATGCCACAGAGGGAGGCCGCTCATGGGCCAGCAGAACACATTCTCAACCTTCTGAGTCTTCAGGGGTAACCCAGGTCCTTCGCCATCCTCTTCTGATCCCAGAAGAGGATGGAGAAGGCAACACGGTGGTGGGACACAGCCATGGACTTAGAGTCAGAAGACCTGGCCATGAGTCCCTACTTGGCCACTTACTAGCCTGGGAACCTACAACCGGTCACTTAACCTCTTTGAGGCCTCATGTTTTTTTCTCTGCAAAATGAAGATAACCAGAATCTCAGAGCAAATTCAATGCAACCACATAGGTGACAAATTGATCAGCAAACAGGTTATTTTATACCAGTGGGGATGTGCAGCAGAAGGTGAGAAGCTACAAAATAAACATGTCACCTCTTCCAGAGCAACAATTTCACCGAAAACCTTTAAGGGAGAGGACATGGTAATTTAATTGATAAGTAACTTTAATAAAGCTTTTACTTAATACACATACGGATGGAATCATGCAAATATTCCATGTGGTTTTTTTTTTAATTTTTTTTTAATTTTTTTTTTTTTAATTTGTCAGGGAGAAACAGAGTGAACACAAGCAGGGGTAGAGGCAGGCAGAGGGAGAAGCAGGCTCTCCACTGAGCAGGGAGCCCAATGCAGGACTCAGTTCCAGGACCCTGGGATCATGACCTGAGCTGAAAGCAGACGCTTAACCGACTGAGCCACCCAGGCATCTGTCCATGTGTTTTTAATATCATGTCTGTAGTTGGCGCTTCAGGCTGTGCCCTCACATCCCTGTAGAGGCCGTATCCTCTCTATTCTGCTGTTTAGAGTGGCCCTAGCAGAAAATCTTGAGAAGTTCTTTAGAAATCCTGGACAGAGCTAACTGAGGGTTTAGGCTCCCAGAGGGTGGTATCATGGGGCACTTCAGCTTCACTTGCATACACACACGTACTCGGACTTTCCCACCTGCTTCCCAAGTTCCTGGGTGGTGCTGGTGGCATTTCCAGGGCAGGGAACAGATACAAGCAGCTCTCTAGGAAACAGATACACAAACTGCTGGCTGCTGACCCACACTAACGTCCTTGAACTTTTTCCTCTAACTTCCTTCTAGAGGGTTTCTCAACCTTAGCTGCACATTATCAAGCATGGTGCTTTAAAATAAACTAATGACGAGTCCTGTCTTCGGAGACTCTGATTTATCTGATCTGGAGTGAGGGCTGGGCATTAGGACTTCTAGAAGCTCCTAGGCAGTTCTAATGGGCTGAGCGCCACTGGCCAATAGAAGACGGGAGTGTGAAGGGAGTTATCCCTCAGCAGGCAGTCTCAAGGCCCAGAGCTGTGCCAGAGAGCCTCTTCCACGTGCGCTCTCTTTAACCCCTCCCAGAAAAGCCAGCGGGGGGACTTATCATGCCAGTTTCTCTAGGTGAGGGACCTGAGACTCAGGGAGGTCCAGGAACTGGCCCAAGGTCACCCCGCTGCAAAGTGGAAGGTCAATGACTCCAGCCTGCTCCATCCGAGGCCCCCGCCCTCTAGCGCTTGCCTGCATCGCGCTGCCTTCCAGGAGAGGGCGCACACAAGCACACCACGCCATAGGGAGTTCTGCAAGGCAGGTGGGCTGCCAGACAAGATGCCGCTCAGAGGCTTGCCGGGGGCCGGGGTGAATGAGTTATTCAAAGTGCAGCCCAAGTGGTTTTTCCTCGACTTTGACTGGCACAATTGCAGTTAGGGAGGGACCGAGTCTATGCAGTTCGGCAAAGCAGCCCCGTGTCCACCAAGTAAAGTCCACTGAACAGACGGCACCCCGTCTGCCCTCCCCAGCCCTGTGCTCCTCTCAGACCCTTCTCCTCAGGCCCCGGGCGCAGGGATGTGGCCCTGCAGCCTTCCCTGGCATCCTTCCCTTCCCTCCTGCAGGTGATGCAGCACGCGTGGGTGGAAGGGAACTCTTCTGTCAAGTGTGACCGGTGCCACAAAAGTATCAAGTGCTACCAGAGCGTCACCGCGCGGCACTGCGTGTGGTGTCGGATGACGGTGGGTCGGCGCGCAGGGTGGCCCTATTTCTTTTCTGTGTGTTTTTGCTCAGGCTGCAGCCAGGGAGCAGTGGATGTCCTGCCAGAGGGCATGAGCGGAGCTAGGAGAGCAAGACCAGGAGGAAAGAGCCCCCCCTCCAGGCTCTGAGTCTAACAGTGTCTCCAGGGCTTCTCCAGGCTGCCTGGAGAGAGGGCGACCCCAGAACCAGGGAGCAAGAGCTGCTAAAGAAGAAGGGCCGGTCCACTGCCTATGTGGCCAGGGAGCTGTGAGCAGCCACCAGACCGTTAGCTGTCTCACCTGGGTGTCGTCTGGGGCCGGGGGCACAGGGTAGGAGTGGAAATAGACACGAGAGCCCCTGCTCCTCAAGGCATCGGGTGAAGGCACACCCCTTACAGCAGCCCCACTCCACAGCAGAGGTCTATGTCCCCTTGGGACACCTGACGCTGCCCACCCTGCCTGCCATAGAAACTCTGTGTCATGTCTTGTCCCCCTGACCAGGTATCAGCCTCAGAAAGGATGTGTCTGCACATCAGGCTGTAGATGTCTTAAAATGCACAGGTTGAGTCTAGGGTTTTATTTCCAGCCTCTCACAAGTTTGTTCAACAAGCTCTCCTTCCTTACAGAGTCTCAGAGCGTAGGTCCAAGGGGGTTTCTGGAATCCACAGGGCCATGCCACACCGAAGGGTCCCAGCCTGCCCATGACCGTTTCACTCCAGCAGTCGTGGACGGCACTCAGTCTCCTTTCTCTCTGCCTGCAGCCAATATGACACCCCTGACCACATCACGCTACACACACACACACACACACACACACACACACACACACACACAGCTATCCTGCCAAAGCTGGTAGTGAATAAGGATTTGGGGGAGTATTGCATTGCTGGCTCCCTGGCAAGTCTCTGAAGGCTCACACCTGACCCTGACCCCGGTTAGTCTCACTCACTTGCTTCTTCATTCTTCCCTCCAGTTTCACCGCAAATGTGAATTATCAACGTTGTGTGATGGTGGGGAACTCAGAGACCATATTTTGCTGCCCACTTCAATATGCCCTGTGACCCGGGTAAGTGCTGCCCCAACCAGGCCTCTGGGCTCTCTGGGTTCACGGTTCAGATGCAGGCGGCATTCAGACAGCCACCTTCCTCTGAGAGCTTCCCACAACAACTAGGTTTTGTGTTTACATGTTTGAAAGCGCAGGGCGGCACTCATCAGCTTGTGAGAGAAAACTCCCCTGATTGGGACTCACTGCTGGCCTTCTAGAATGCTCCCAAATGACCCTTGGAGAAAGCACATACATTCTAAGCACTTTGCCAGCCCAGCAAGCTGCGGGAATTTCTGTCCCCACCTGCGCGCGGCTAGGCCTCCCTTGTCCCTGTCAGCCTGTCTCTTTTGTCTAAACATGAATCTCTCCCTGCCTTGAGGACGCCCTCTTAGGCATCCCAACCCTGTTTGGAGATGAAAGCAGGAAAATTGATATCCCTTTAGGTCCATCTGAAATTTTCTGTCTCTTGTGTTGGATATTCCTCTTTTGGACCAAACGCCGAAATCCTTGACGATCCCTTCTGTCTTCAAGATGTTGCCAGGTTCTTCTGGTCCCTCTCATCTCACCCCTGACTTGACCAGCTACTCCTTTTTCATGGGAAAAAAAAAAAAAAAAAAAGAAGGAACAGCACCCCTTTGGAAAACCAGTTGGCAGTACCTACTAGGTTGGAAAAACACTAACTCTGTGACCCAACATGTCCTCCCGGGTATCTGTCTGAGAAGTACAAGCGCTTGTTTCACCAAAAGCCTGGCACAAGAATGTCCATATTGATCTTGTTCGTAACAATCAAAAACTAGAGACCAGCTAAATGACCGCTGACCGCAGGGGTCTGAGGCGTACCCGTGTAATGGAATACCTCATTGCAGTGGGAGAGAGCCATGCTTAGCTGCAAAAGCACGGGCAGTCTCAAATATACATGCTCAACGGAAGAGACTAGACTTAAAAAAAAAAGACATGCTCTATGATTCCATTTATGAAGTTCCAAAGCCAGGAGTCAATGCTTGAAGAGATCGTAGTGACAAGGGCATATATGTATATAGAAAAGCTGGGGATGGAGATTTGAGGATTTTAACACATGAGAAATAAACATCAATAAAAAATAATCAACATTGAAGAAAACAAACAAAACTAAAAGAAATGACTTAAACAGTATCCTATCATTTAGATAGTGCTGAGCGGAGAAGCCAGGTCTAAGACAAGGCTTCCCGGAGCTCGAGCTTCTAAATCAACAAAGATTTCTGTCAGTTTCAGTGTTTCTTCTCCCCAGGTCTGTTCCAGTGTCTCCAAGTTAAAGTCACAGCAAAGAATGACAGAGGCCTGGGGAGTCCTAGAGAGACCCATAGGGGAGCATGTCTTTTTTTTTTTTTTTTAGGTTCAAGCCTTATTTTGATAAATTCCTCCCTATTCTCTACTGGTTTTGCAGTCTCTTTGTATTAACTGTTTGGTTTTTTCCTGATCTCTTTTTTTTTTAACTAGGGCATTTAAAAAAAAATACATGTTTGTCTTTCTCGTCACAGGACAGGCAAGGTGGGAAGTCTGATGGCAGTGTGTCAGCCAAGACTGAACTTGTGATGCAGGTACTTCAGCGAGCCCCAAGTCCGGTCTCTCGTTCTAAGTGTGTCCAAGCCTGCCTGCGGGGAGGACAGGGTTTGGATTCTAGAGAAATAAATCTCAACATTTGCTTTCTCATCTGATTAATTACATAAATACATTACATAGGAGGGACACTTTATTTCCAGCTTCTGGGATTATCTTTGACCACCACACTGTTGGCAAGTGGTGAAAAGGGAGGTTGGCTGATTCCACTGCTGGTCATATTAACTTTATCACCTCTTTAGGAACAAGTTTTGTAAAACTTACTGAAAACATACAATGGGTTTTCCAAGACTGTCAAGCTGTTTCTAGAATGTGATCTCCCAAAACAAAGTTCACCAGATCCAAAAGTTCCTCTTCATCCTTAAATGTATACTTAAGAATTTTTTTAAAAGATCTTATTTATTTGAGAGAGAGACAAAGCACAAGCAGGGGGAGGGGAAGAGGAAGTTGGAGAGAGACAAACAGACGCCCACCAAGCAAGGAGCCTGATGCGGGGCTCCACTCGAGACCCAATCCCAGGACCCTGAGTTCATGATCAGAGCCAAAGTCGGACTCTTAACAGATTAAGCCACCCAGGCGCCCCTTAAGAACTCATTTTTTACTTGGGTTCACCAAGTAAGAGTATTAGAAAAGGAAATGGAAAACTAGGGTCTCCTCCTCTGTCTCCGAGCCTCGTGTTTTCTTGTTTGGAAAAGGGCATTGCTGTCCCTACACTGCCCACCTCCCAGAGATGCTCTAAGATTAAATGAGAACATGAAGATTAGTATGTCTTGAAAATTAAAACATAAGCAATAATGATGGAGAAACCATAGTAAAATGGCATAGCTCTAGACAAGTAGAAAGGCAGAAAGTCAGGTGGAACAGACAGACAGACACACACACACACACACACACACAGAAGGTGTACCGTATACCAGCTGTTTTTACAGCTCGCAACTGTCTGGTTATCCTGCATCTGTTTTGATTGGGTGTGTCCATGCTGTACAGATGATTAAACATTTTGAATATCATCCCCGGAGGTAAGGAATTACTCCTTAGGATCCAAGATGCTTCTGGGTGTCACACAGACAGTCACTCTGGGCAGATGAGAAAATTCTTAAACATTCATAAAGAATGCCGGCGTCCATTTCAAACAACACAGTGCTGTGCTTGCTGAAATTTCAGCTTGCAATCTGAAAAGGTAGGCCTCATGCATCTCCATATCAGTCTGTCCCTCTGCTGCATCCACCGGTATTTATTAAGTCCCCACTCCCTGGTCTGGTGTCATGGGGTGCTTGGTAGGAGGGTTACACGCACACCCGCCCTGCTCCTAAGGCATTTAAAATCCAAATGATATTTTGAGACATTTGCCTAAGAACATATGAAACAAAACCCACATGAATGGACAGCAAAGGGAACCCAGAAGATATTCTGTGTTTCAAGTGCAGTGGTCTTAGCTGCGGTCATAGAGGAAAGCTTCATAGAGGATATAGCTCTTGAGTTAGACCCTAAGAATGCGAAGTTCTTTTTAAGAGATTGCAAAAAAGGAAGAGGGCTCTTTAGAGCATCAGGGAGGAGAAGAAACCAGTGTGAGCAGACCCCCAGGGTGGGACGCAGGGGACACACTGACTGGAGAGTCAGAGCCAGCCTTGATTGGGACTGCCACTGAAGTCCTTAGCATTTAAGAGGCAACAGATTGGGACTGTGTTAAAATGTCATGGATACCACATCAGGAGATTGGGATTTTTATCTTCTGGGCAACAAGATGTCACTAAAGGTTTCTGAGCGGAAGTGGCATGACTGATGTCCTGGGAAGGAACTGTATACAGGCCTTACCTGAGGTGGGAAAGACCCGAGCAGTGTGGGTACCATGGCGACTGCCAGAGATAAAGGGACGTTCGAGGAATTAATTGTCAGGATGGGGTCTTCCCTAGATGACTGGCAGAATGATAATAGTATGTTTAAGGGAAACAGTGAGCCAGGAGAGAGTTCCAGTTTTGTGGGGACTGAAGATAAGTCAGGTTTGGGGATGCGAGTTTGCAATGATGGTGAGATGTTTGGTTAAAGTATCCATTGGACAGTGAGAAATGTGGAACCAGAGCTCAAGAGAAAGACGAGGGCTGGAAATGTGGATGTGGAAGGTGCTAGTGGAAGTGATGGTTAACTTCATGAGTGTTATTTGGTTGGTGTGTATGGCCAGAAGACCATAACTTCTAAAATTATACTCAGTTGTATCCCTCACAAAGTGTAATCTTGTGCTTATAGCAGATGCCTGGCTGACTCAGTGGGTGGGGCGTGTGACTCTTGATCTCAGGGGCTGTGATTTAAGCCCCACATTGGGCATCGAACTTCCTCAAAAAAATGCGAGCACAAAAAAATGGATTAAAAAAATATATCTTTGGGGCGCCTGGGTGGCTCAGTGGGTTAAGGCCTCTGCCTTCGACTCGGGTCATGATCTCAGAGTCCTGGGATCGGGCCCCACATCGGGCTCTCTGCTCAGCGGGGAGCTTGCTTCCCCCTCTCTCTCTGCCTGCCTCTCTGCCTACTTGTGATCTCTCTCTCTCTCTGTCAAGTAAATAAAATCTTAAAATATATATATATATATATATATATATCTTTAATCTTGTGCTTATAGACACAATACCACACCATTGTTGAAAGATTTGAAGCTACGGTGCCATTGCTGCATCTCTGATCCCAGCCTCAAACTCACCGTTAACACTGCGTAGGTCCACTTACGTCAAAGAGACTTAGCTGCTTAACCCTTCAGGAAATTCAGCCAGGGAACAAAGACCTACCTCCCGACTCCCTGTCCTCTGTGCCAGGAACTGCTTCCCGTCCACCTTTTCTGGAAGCCATCTTAGCGTCAACTCTCCTCTCCTTCGTCGTCTTGGCTGAAAAAGAACTAATTTCTTTTTCTTTTATCTTTGAAGTATAAGATCATTCCCACCCCGGGTACCCACCCCCTGCTGGTCTTGGTGAACCCCAAGAGTGGAGGGAGACAAGGAGAAAGGTATGTTCTCTTCTTTTTCAAAATGAGAGGCTGAGACAAGTTCACTCAGGTTTTTTTCTTCCCCTTAAGAGGGTAGACTGCAAAGACAGGCAGTTGTGTGTTCCCATCCCAGCCCGACCCCCGACCGCTTTATGACCTGGTTCAGATAACTGCTTAACATCCCTATGGTCTGGTTTCCTCCACTCCTCTCATAGCTCTGTGGTGAGGATTAAAGCAGACACATCCTTAGCCTAGGGCCCAACAAATGAACCATTATTATGGCTCCCAAGTTCCAACCAGCTTCGGAGACGAAGATTTCCTTCCCAGCCTCACAGGCCCTTCCTTGATTAAGAGGAGTGGCAAGACTTGCCTGATTGGGACCTCCTGGCCTGTCCAACTCCTGAGAAAGCAGGGCACGACCTCCTCAGGGAAGGAAATGCCCAGTCTCCTGGAAGCACTGAGGGAATGGGAGGAGAGAGAGAAACTGGATGAACCAGCTCTGCGTCCCCATCCTGTTCAGCTCAGGGTCATGGACAGATGAGGCAGTGATTGGGAACACAGGTTTACAAACATAGTAAGTAGGGTTAAAGCAAGAACTATGAGAACCTCTCCCCTCCCACCCACCATCGTCCAAGGGGCAGGACACCCCTCCTGAACTGACCTGATTAGTCCCAAGTTGGAACCTTGACACCAAGCCTTGAGGTGGTCACTGCCCCTGGCTTCCCCTGCTCAGCCCCACTTCCTGCATTTCCTCCTGATCCCAGGTTCTAGTGGGCTTTCCAGAGAGGGTTCCTTGTTACTTTTGTGTAGTCCACAAAGAGCAGAATTGCATGACCTAGAACATATGGAACTTTTGGGAGAAGGACAGAGCTTTGGAGAATAGAAGTTTTATTCATCTGCAAGGGAGGATAGTCCTGGGGTTGAATGCTACAGACTTGGATGGTGGGGAGGCCTTGAGTCAGGGCATGGGGGTGTGAATGGTACAGCTGGACCTGGGACTTCAGGGTCTGCTGGGCCTTATGCTGTCTTCTCCCCTCTTGGGTTTAAATGCACCCAGATTCCCGCCACTGGTGGGCTCCAGAGGTGTTTGCCCTACTGTGACTTCTCACAATGACATTCTCCCTCTCTGTCTCTCCTTTTGTCCCTCTTTCTTTCTTTTTTGTTTTTTCCATAGAATTCTTCGGAAATTCCACTATCTGCTCAACCCCAAACAAGTTTTCAACCTGGACAATGGGGGGCCTACCCCAGGGTATGGAGAAACGATTGTTACTTATCTCTCCTCCTCCCCCTTTCATCTAAAGAAGATACCTTTCTTTGGTCACCCTCCTTGTCTCTCTTTCATCTGTGGACTTATCCTTCCTGCCCTTTTACTCTTTTTTGTCTTCATTTCCTCACCTCTGCTCTTACTTGCTCCTGGGGTTGCTCCTTGGGGCTAGCTCTGGAAAGAGGCCTCCTGTGTACTTCACCCTAGAAAAAGTTGTTGTTTTTGTGAAAGAGAAAAAGCACACATGCCATTCGTTGGAATGACAGGAAGAGCGGGCTAGTAAATTACGTGAACATCTCTGCAAGGCTGTGTTCGCAGTGGCTTCACACTGAGTCATCAGGGAGGAGGAAAGCGTTTTCCTAGCGCACTCAGCAGTTCGGAAATCTGTACAGCTGACTCAGAGTTCTGCGGCATGTGCTGTTGGGGAGGATTTTAGGATCGAGGCAATTGGTTACTCAATGAAATCACTTTTCCCCCCCAGGATTATCCAATTTAGAGGTTGTTAAGCTGCCCCTGGCCCTTCTCCTTTAGGTGACTATTGGCTGTTTCACTGCCCATTAGAGCGGGAGAGTGAGGCAAGGACGCAGGTAGCCCCTTGCAGTCGTTCGCCTCCCATCCCCAACCCCCACCCCCATCTGGTAGGAGGGGCTGGGCCCCGTGGTACACTAATGTGATGGCTGTGGGTCCCTGTAATCAGAGGCAGCTTCAGCTTCGGGCCTGGAAGGCTCCCAGCCTGGGCTTCTTACCAGACAGAGCTGGTGCGCTAGGGACATCTGCTGGCCAGCCTGAGCCTGTCTATGTCCAGGCCGGCTTTTCAGATCCGTGCACCCTGGGCTGAGCTTCCCAGCACAAGGCTCCTTGGCCCAGCCTCCCAACCTGCATTCCCAGGCTCAGTCCAGCAAGACCCTCAGTGGGTGGGGGCAGGGGATGGAGTGCAGGAGGGACTCTAAAAAGGCACTATGTCCCAGTCTTTTGTTGTTTGACACAGAGCTGTTATTTATATGGCTATGATGGTGCCAGACCCAGTTAAAAGGAGAAAGAAATGTGAGTGTAAGTCCAGGTTTTACGTGTAAAACCGATTTCTAAACAGAGCCCACCGATGCTCTGGGTGTGTCCTAGTCACCATGATCGTAATCACTCCCCCATCGTGACCTGTGACCAGAAGGCAATCTGCAAGCCGTTTTACCAGCCCCCTCTCTTTCAGGGCTGGTAAATTGTTTCTGCCCCATTTGGCAGCTTGTTGAAGCCAATGGACCTCTTCTCAGAATTTTTCTTAATCTGCATAAAGTGAAATATACAGGATCCCCAGGGAAACAAACTATACTGAAAGACAGTTATCAAAATATTAAAAACAAAAGTATTGGGATACGGGAATATATGTGATTTACTAACACATTTTTGGTAAGATGCAGGGGCAGATCTAGTAACGACTGTTAATTAAAGCAGTGATGAGCATAAGTGGTAGTAGGGGCAGCTGCCAGAACGGTAGTAGGACATGAAAATACCTGTGAATTTGACTTCTAACAACGTCATCGGTATTGTTCGTACCCCTGTGATTTGTTGCCCACTTCCGTAATTGGAGAGGCTAAATCTCAGGCCTTATGCAAGGTAAGAATGTACCATTTTCTCCTCCCAAGTTCATGGCCATCTGGATTCTATCTACAGATGCCTTAGAGCTTTGTGAGCCCCCGGTGAAGAGCCGTGGTGCTCCTTCCGCTTCGGTCCGGACCCACAGGACAGTGGGATGGAGATCCAGCTAGTTCACTACATCTGAATTAAAGGAGAGCTTGGGAGGACAGAGCAGGAAGGAGAGCCAGAGAGGAGTGGGAACATTGGGGGTTGGTTGTATTGGTGCCCAGAGAAGTAAATGGTGGCCTCCTCTGTACAAATAGCAGCGGATCTAGAAAAACCATTTTCTTTTGTGTTGAATGTTGAGTCAGATTCTCCTTCTACGAGGAAGGCTCCCCAGGATTCTCCCCTATACTTCCGCAGCCTTGAAGTTCTGGTCTCAGAACGCTAAGTGATCCCCTCCACCCCAAAAGGAGTCAGGGCTGTAACATACTCCCAGGGAACAGGGGAGACCTGACTTAAGCAGTGTCAAATGTCAGCCACAGCCTAGTAAATAAGACCATTTTGGCCTTTTACTTCTCAGGTTGAACTTTTTCCGTGATACTCCAGACTTCCGTGTTCTGGCCTGCGGAGGAGATGGGACAGTTGGCTGGATTTTGGATTGCATTGGTAAGAATGGACTGGGAAGGGCTTTAGCGTTTATTAATAATAAGTATATTGAAAGTCAGAGGCAGGCAATCAACAGGAGAGAGAAATGGAGCCATGTCTTGTTCATCCTTATTTCCACTCTTGGAGTGCTGCTTAACTACATATCTGCTTAGGGAGGAAAGGTGAAATGGAAGGGTGCCCACAGGTACAGGTGTGACTGTTTAGTTTCTGGCCTCACCTCATGAACATTTCTGATGGCCGGGGTTTGGGCAGTGGCAGGACAGAACTGTTTGGGGACCTGCGGGCGGGAGAGGGCAGGACTAGGACTCTGGCCAGAGCCAGGGGAATGGGTAAAGGCCAGAGAATTAAGCATAGGTGCTTCCATAGCCTGAGGCAAATCACCTTGAGACGAGCACCTGAACCTGAGTCCAGAAAGCAGACCTAGAATGCGCAGATCAGTACAAGCAAAGAAAGGTCACGCTGTTCTGTGTCCAGTATGCTTAGATCAGAAGGGTAATGGGGAGGGCTGAGGCTGGGAATCAGGAGGCCTGGGTTTCAGTCCAGCTCTGTCTGGATCTGCAGGTCCTTGGAGGGTCCTTGGACATCTCATCCCCCGTAAATAATGGAGACTAACTCTGGAATTGTCTGCCATTCCTCCCACACATACTGCATGGACACCTCCATGCGCCAAGCTCTCCTCCAGGCACTGGAGATGCAGTAGTGAACAAACCACATAGAAATCCCTCTCTCCTGGAGCTTCCTTTCTAGAGGGAGGAGACAGGCAGTCACCAAAAAAGCGATGGAAACATGTAGCATGTCAGAAGGTAATACAAACATAGCAGGGAAGGGGCAAGGTAGGTAGGGTTGGGGGTGGTCTCCAGTCAAAGACCCAGTGTTTGGGGAAGACCTCACAGAACAGATGACATTTGCGTGGAGACCTGGAAGAGAGGTGAGCCATGAGGATACTTGAGGAAAGAGCAGTTCCAACAGAAGGGACAGCATATACAAAGGCCCTGAGAGAGGATCAGGCCAGGTGGCTGAAGGCAGCAGGTGGGCTGCAGAACGTGCTCGGAGCAGGGTGCGTGAGGCGAGAGTGCCAGAGGATGAAGCAGAGATGGCATGGGGCCAAGTCACTAGGATGTAAGGGACAGTAGACAGAATATGACTTTCATACAGGAAAGGTCCCAAGACGCTTCATGGTTTGGAGCAGAGGAAAGACACAACAGATCATGAGAAAAGGGCAGCAGCAGGGAGACCCATCAGGAGGCTCCTGCAGGAATCCGAGTGACAGGTGACCAAGGCCTAGACAACAGGAGACACAGAGGAGGTGGTCAGGAGGAGTCAGCTTCTAGATACTGTTTGAAGGTGGAAGCAACAGGATGAGAGAAAAAGAGGCATCAGGGATGGGCATGGGTAGACCCTGACCAGGGCAGGGAAAGCTGCCCCTGTGGGGGTTGTAGGCAGCCCACCGGGAGGGGACCACACCCAGCACACCTGCCACCCTCTGCTCCCCACAGGAGCTCCAGTTTCCATGGACACAGCCCTGCCAGGCAGCCACCCACGCTCTCCTGTCACCTCCAGCTTTGGAGTTGTTTGTAGGGGGTGGGGGTGAGGGAGGCATCCTCTGGGAGCCCAGGAAAGAAAAGCTGATCGGCAGAGGCTGGGTGGCTGCTGTCCTGGGAGCTGCTCACATGGTTCCCTCTCCATCACAAAGGAGAATGTTGGCCTTGGTGGTTTTATAAAATTCACCTGCCAAGAAGACCGGGGAAAGGACATGCCCACAACCGAAAGAATAAAGGTCACACGACAGGTTGGCGGCCTGACAACAGAAAGCAGTAGTGAAAGGAGTAACCGCATCATGTTCATTCATTCATTCCAGAATATTAAAGCCCTTATTCAGTGCCTTCAGCCGCCCCCACTTTGGTCCCGGTGCCGATCTGCTTATGCTCTACAACCAGAGCAGTCTTTCCTGAATGTCAGCGGGTTCATGATGTATGTAAAGCACATCAGTGGCCTCCCATCATTCTTAGGAGAAAAACAAAAGCCTCTTAAATCACTTACAAGGTCCTGGTGCTCTAATTGCTGCCTACCCTTCTGACCCTACTTCATACCTTCATTCCTCTCCCTCTAAACTCCAGCCACCCTGTCCGTCTCTTAGACCTTTGAAGACCCCAGTCTCCCTTCTACCACAGGGCCTTTGCACAAGCAGTTCCTTCTGTCGGATATGCTCCCTGGCCATTCCTTGGTCAATTTCTACTTCAGATCTCAGCCATAGTTTGGCTTCTTCAGAGGAGGCTTCCCTGACACCCAGCCTCCGTCACCTTAATATATGATTGTACTTCTTCCCTTTCCGGTATGAATTTGGAATTATGCATCATTTATATGAAGACTTTATTAATATCTGTCTCTCCTTCTCAGTTGTAAGCACCATGAGAGCCTGTGTCATGGCACTTTGACCCACTATGAGAGCCACAGGACCTAACACAGCACTGGGCACATAGTAGGCACTCTGTAAATGTGTGCAGAGATACTGTGACGAATGAGACATAGTTCCCCTAGGGGGGTTACAGTACATTCAGAGAATAGACAGGTAGTCAATTACAAGAAACACTCTGGAGACGGGGAGGATCATGTACCTGAACTCAGGCATCGCCAGAGGAATAGTGAGAAGAGATTGCTGAGAGATCTATTAAGGAAACAGCACATGGAAACTGCTGTGTGAATGGAGGCAGGGTAAGGAAGAGGGACAAACCTAGGATGACATCCGGGTTTCTAGCCTCAACACCATAAAGATGGGTCACCTGTTGAGATGGGGACCACAGAAGGAGCAGACAGAAGGCAAAGGGAGCAGCAGGCACAAAGGCAGGGAAGCAGACATGCAGACCACGTGTTCCGGGAGCAATGACAGAGCCCATCGCTTTGCTCTGTCCCCGGTCTTAAACCTCCCCGTGTTGAGCTCAACCCTGGGCCTCACCTGAGCTCAGCCACCTGCAGCAGGAGCCAGACAACCCCGGGGACCTGTGAGCTCCCCTTTTCCGATGGCAGCCATAACATTTGGCCCACTTGTTGATTCCCCTGCCCCTAGGCGCACTCCTCAGTCAACCTCCCTCACATCCACAGGCACAGGTGTGTTGCGGCGTCTGTCAGTGGCGCCCCCTGGAGCCCAGGGGCTGCGCGTGCCTGTCCCACCTTCCTCCGTGAGGCCAGGCCAACCTGTTGCGCTGTGTCTTGCAGCTGGTGAAATCAGGCATGTTCCGTCTGCTTTCTCCCCTCACAAGTCACAGGGCAGAGCAGCTTGGGGATTGGGGATTTGCGAGTCTGGGAAGTGCGGGAAGTGACGAATTCATACCCACGTGCTAAATAACACTTTGAGGTTTTGTTAGACACAATATTATTTTTAAACTTTGAACCTGAATGACAATTAGACGAGACAGCTCCTGTTTCCCAAACGCCCCACCATTCCCTGATTTCTCAGACCCGCCTGTGTTACTCCCTGTGCACCTGCCTAGCCCCTGAAACAAGGAGGAGCCTGGACTTGGGACCACAGAGATCTGGGTTTTATCCTGACCCGGGACTTACTTTCCCCCTCTGAATCTCTCTCCCATCATCTAGCAGGAGCATGATAATACCCTGCAGAGTTGCTGTGAGGGACAAAGGGAGAAGGTGTTAGCTATGATGACAAATGAATGTGTTTGAGGTGTACACCGTCACCTCAAAGGAAAGAATTTGGATGAGATGTGGAGAAGCAGGTACAGGTTCCAGGGAGAAAGAGGGAGGTCAGTATGAAAGAATCCTTTGGAGTGGTTCCCACGCTATGGACAGAAGACACGGCTTTAGGAAGCAATGTACTTTCCATCATGGGAACTCTGCAAACAGAGATACTATGAAAGGGTTCTAAGGCTCAGATCAGGGATAATTAAATAACCCACAGTTTTCGTAACCTGGGCCTATGGTTTTGTCTTCTTCTGCATGGTTGCAGATAAGGCCAACTTCTCGAAGCATCCACCGGTGGCAGTCCTGCCTCTTGGAACAGGAAATGACCTGGCCCGCTGTCTCCGCTGGGGAGGAGGTAAGTCTGCGTGCCAGTGGCACCCCCCCGGGGACAAGCCCTCCAGTCTCCTGGGGAGCTCGTCAGGGCTAGGCTGAACTTCCCTTTTAAGAATTACATTTCACAGAGTCCTCCCTACCCCATGACCATTCCCCTGCCCTCCAAGTCTTGCTGAGACCTGTGCTAAGCCCTCAGTCTATTTACTCTGATGCAGAGACTCTCAACCTAGAGCCTGCTCCCCATAACAGAACATAGCTTTAGGGTCATATCTATTTCCCCCCACAGTGCTCGCTCTAGTAGGGGCTCATGCAGGCGTTTTCCGGATAAAATTCCTTCCTCTCCAAGTTACTGGTCTTCTTCTGAATTAGGACTCAGAATACAAACTGAGAAGCTATATGGTCAGCTACTAGGGGCGTCCAGCTCATCAGAGGCCCCCAAGGCCAGAGGCCCTCATTTCGCAAACCCGCCGGGAGAGGATCTCAATGTGGTGACCAGCTCACGGGACAAGGGGCTAGGAGCTAAGGAGAACTCTGCAACTGCAACCGTCCCCATGGAGCTGGGAATGCTCCAGAACGCAGAGGAGGTCAGGGCAGCACGTGGAAGGGACATAGCAGTCTGGCAGGCAGAACAGGGATGGGCTTCCAGATGGCTGATCGATTCAGCAAGGATTCAAGACCAGCTCAGGCAGCGGTCAGTGTTCAGAGCTGGGTACATGCCTGGTGGCAGGAGCAGAGGAAGCAGGAGCCAGCCCCAGAAGGAAGTTGGCAGGCACAGATGTCCTCAGCCACACACTGAGGCTAGGGAAGAGCCCTCTGTTCAAGAGGAACAAGCAGAATGTGGTCCCATGCTGCGCACTTCTAGGCGGCATAGCTCTGCACCAGGGTCATGCGGGAAGCCCAGCCCCATGCTTCCAGAGAGCCCCCAGGCCCTCAGCTATGTAGTTGCTACCACTGCTGTCTTGGGAGGCATCCCTGAAGAGCTGACCAAACTAACAACTTGAAAATACTCTTCGGGGTTGCCCTAAAATAAGCAGGACGGTGGGAGTTTCACCTGAAGGAAAAGACTCTTTCTCCCACTAACCTCTCATGATTTGCAATTCTATTGCTGCATAACAAGTGATCCTAAATGTAGAGGCTCAAAACATTCATTTGTTAGCTCCCAGTCCTCTGGGTCCGGAGGCCTGGAACAGCGTGACTCAGTTCTCTGCCTCCCAGCCTGAAGTGAGGGTGTTGCACAGGCCATGCTCCTCTCTAGAGTCTCTGAGGGAGAATTTGCTTCAAAGCTCTTTCATGTTGTTGGCAGAATTGAGTCCTTTGTGGTTCAAGGACAGACGTCCCCATTTCCTTGCTGGTTATCAGCTGGGACCACTATCAAATCCTTTAGGCTTCCTTCTTCCTTGATAGATGGATCCCTCCATCTTCAAAGCCAGCGAGAGAGAATCTCCCTCATCCAAAATCCCTCTCAATGAGAGCTTTGAGTCAGTTTCTTAAGGAAAAGCCCAGTCCTTTCTAAGGACTCAACCAATCAGGTCAGATCCACTCAGATAATCTCCCTTGCTTAAAGTCTCCCGTGCCATGTGGTATAGCTAATCATGACAATGACTGTCCTACCTTATCTATAAGCCCCATGAATTGCAGGATGTATACCCCTGGGTGGAGGGTGGTGGAGGGCTGGGGAGACCATCCTAAAATTCTGCCTACCAAACTGTCCATCTACGACGTGACCTAGTCCTGGAACAGACCCTTTGTTCTCCCATGCGCAGCTTCCCAGCCCCCCAGCCCACCAGTTGTCTAGGGCTGGATGTGGCTACACAGGCCTGCCCACCTTTGGCCAGCCCCCACCCCTTTGCCTTCCAAATTTCCCCAGCTTCTTTGCCTTCCAGATCTCCCCAGCTTCTCTCTACACCGTGTTGTCCTCTCCTTCTCCATGGCTTAGGGAACCTAAGTGTCTCTGGGGCCCCAGACACGCTGGGAAGTCTCCTGGTCACAGAAGCCCACAGAGTTCCCTGTCCTGATAGCTACCCGTATGTCGGTAACCACTTAGCCTTTCTGCCCTGGGGTCAGATGTAATGCTGTGCTCCACAGGTTATGAAGGGGGCAGCTTGACAAAAATCCTGAAGGACATCGAGCAGAGCCCCTTGGTGATGCTAGACCGCTGGCATCTGGAAGTCATCCCCAGAGAGGAGGTGGAGAATGGGGACCAAGTCCCGTACAACATCATGAACAACTATTTCTCCATTGGTGTGGTGAGTTGGTCAAGGATTGCCTTTGCATGGATGAGAAACGTCTGGGTGGGCAGAAGGTTCTGGTCCCCCATCCTCCCCCTCTAGGTCCCTACTCTTCACCTCTCCCAGCTACCCTAGTCTTGACTCGGGTCCAAGCATCCTTGTGTGTGGCCTGGGTATGTACATCCAGAATGTACCAAATCACCCCACCCTAGATTATGGAGGAAATTCCATTCCCTGTAATTGGAACTAACACAAGAAAACTAAAAATCTTTTAAAAACAGGTTTACCCTTTGGAGAATTTGAAACAGTTTAAAAGAAGTAATAACCAAGGGGCAAAGACAGGAGAAGACTCTCATGTGAGCTTCCAGAGTTGAGAATTTGGATCCTTTAAAGAGAACCAGTGGTCCCAGGCTGGCTTAGCTAACTTAGCTGTCAGAATTCCTTCTCTCCTGTTCTCTCCCATCTCAACTGTATTCCCCACACTCTGGGTGCTCATAAACCTCTGGGAGCATCTCCTCCCAGCTGACCCCTCCCTCAGGTGAGCTCCACGATCCTTCTAGGTGTTTTCCACAGCCTTCTGTGTTCACCCCGCCAGTGTACTCTCTGCATTGGATTGGAGGGATTGGTTTACTGTGCCCATTTCACACATCCCCAACACACACGCATGCATACACACACACGCCCAACACACACCCCTAACAGACCTCTAACACACACACACACACAACATACCCTCCTGCACACACACACACACACACCCAGAGCACAAGGACAGCTCCACATTCCTCTTTCTTCCTCCAGCCCCCAGCACATCTAGCACAACTCAGTTTGTTATACCGAACTCAGTTTCTGGTCCAAAGAGGATGGGGGTGAACCCTCCTTCCCAAACTGTTAAGGATGAGATCTGGAAGAAAAAAGACCCATCCATTCCATAGATAGAGCTGGGTTTCAGGAGGGGGATGCATCAAAGATACTAGCATTTATTGAGCACCTACTGTGAGCTCTCCACTACTGTAGACCTTATATATCACAATCCTTTGCAGTCTGGCAGGTGTCACTGTCCCCATAGTCCCCATTTTACAGACAAGGTCTGCGGACACTTGACTAGTGAGGACCAGGAACTGGCACAGGCCCGCTGTGCCTTACAGGCTTTCCTCTCAGTTTCCTTGCCTCTGGAATTACCCTGCTCAGTGTCAGATGCATAGAAATCCCTCCAAACCAACCATCCGGGCCCAGATTGTGTGGTAGTTGCTTTTGTCAACCATCTTCGCCTGGGCCTCTTTTGAAAACTTTTGTGGCTTAAAAATAAAAAGGAATTAGACGGGGAAATGATACATAGCTTAAGAGAAGAGCAGATTTAAGGAAAGAGTTTTATTTTTTTTTTAAGATTTTATTTATTTATTTGACAGAGAGAGATTACAAGTAGGCAGAGAGGCAGGCAGATTGAGAGAGAGAGAG